TAATGTGAACAATTGTTTCATTTATTTTCCCCAACCATTTTGATATTTAAGCTTAAACAGTAGCATCAATTTCAGATAGGTTAAAATGGTAAATGCAATGGCCACAATCAAAAACAAAAGTGTTCATTCGAACTAGAAACTACTTCAAAGAACAACTCAAAGACTAGAAAATTACAAATTGTTCTAAACAGTGCTATTTTTCCTGGGGGGGGGGATTGGGCTGGAACTCACCATGAATGCCTCCCTTGCTCTCTTATAATGGCAGGGGTGCACACCTGAGCAGGGCCAGGACTGAGTTCTGGCAAGTTTTGACTGAAAAAAACCCCTACTTCTAAATGCATCTCTGAAGTTAATACTATTCTCTAGTAGGCTTGTTATATTTTAAAGAGCAAAACAGAAGAAGCATTTGCCGACTTCTACTTTCTTGCACTGTTCTAGGTTTGGGGTGGCATGCAATAATATAAATTCTGTACAGCAGAAAATATTAGGCATTCATCTCATTAAAACGTATGTTTACATGTTGTTACTACAGCAGGTTGTTAGTATGCATACCAATCAATAAGCTACTTGATTTTATTAGCCCTATTCTTGGCTGTTTAAATCACTGATCATTTATTTATTTTAATTGCCTTGGTTTAAACCCATCCTGAGAGATACAGATATTCCAGTTAGATACTGCAGCAACCAATACTGGTACAGAACAAACAAGTTATTCTTTCTTCTTCTTTGGTGATCACTAGTAGCCAGTAAGATTGACTTCCATGAAACACAATCTTAACAGTGAGTCCGTAAGTGACTGTGGAGGCAAATTCTGGATCCACACGTCCTTCCACAGTGGGGACATAGGTTTCTGGGCGGGAGTTGATCACGGTGAGGGTTTGCCAAGTGTGTCTTCCTCTTAGCTCATTTCTCCTTTCTGTCCTGAGTTCGAACGTCTTCAAAGCCCATGACACCTTTGGTAAAGGCTGTTCTCCAATGGGAGCGCTCACAGGCTAGTGTTTCCCAATTGTCAGGGTTTATACTACTTTTTAAAGATTTGCCTTGAGAGAGAGTCTTTAAACCTCTTTTGTTGACTGTCAGCATTACACTTTCAATTTTTAAGTTGGAAATACAGTTGTTGCTTTGGAAGATGATAATCAGGCTTCTACACATGATCAGTCCAACGAAGTTGATGTTCAAGAATCATTGCTCCGACACGTGATCTTTGTTTCATCCAGTACACTGGCATTAGTTTGCCTGTCTTTCCAAGTGATGCGTAAAAATTTTCAGAGACACTGTTAATGGAAACTCTCAAGGAGTTGGAGATGGCGCTTGTAAGTGGTCCATGTTTCACAAGCATACAGTAAGGTTGGTAGTACAATAGCTTTGTAAACAAGCATTTAGGTTTCCCTGTGAATGCCCCAGTCCTCAAACACACTGCACTTCAATCAGGAGAACGCTGCACTCCCAGAACTCAGGCGATGCTGGATTTTGGCATCAACGTCGGCTCTTGTGGAAAGATAACTGCCCAGGTAGGAGAAGTGATCAACATTTTCCAACATCACACCATTGAGTTGGATTTGTGGCACTGCAGAGGGGTTGTTTTGTGCTTGTTGGTGCAGCAACAGCTGTCCTAGTTCTGGGGAAAGGCGAGGTCTGGAATGCTTCTAATGTTGTTTTTAATTTTGCCAGCTTTGTTGTTTTTAATTTTGCTAATAGCTGTCCACAGCTCTCCCAGATTGGGAGATACTGCAAGCTCATCTCTAATTTGTTTTTGCGGAATGTGTGAGAGGAGGAATTTGTGATTGTCTTGTAATCAGATACCTAACTCTTTATGAAACTCTCAATGGAGCAATGTTAAATGTGTCTTGGTGGCACTGTAATAATAGTAGCATCTTCATAAAGTTTTCTTTTAGTGTGTAACACACCATAAATTTTAAATCTCTGATCCATAATTGTTCCCAGGCATCCATTTGTATGGTATGCCCAAAATCTTTTGCCCATTTAATCATAACTTCTTTCACTTCTTCATCTTTTACTTCCCAAATAAGTCTATACATTTTAGATAACACTTTGCTTCTGCTTTGTATTAATTCTTTTTCCAGCCTCAAAATTTCTGTTGCAAACCCATTTTTCTTTTTTTCATTTTCAGATGATATTTATTAAATTTTTAGTTACATACTGTACATACACATACATTCTATTTCACATTTGTTCTTGCTCTCCTGAGCTGACTTCCCTCCTTCCTTCTTCTGGCTTTTTTATGTCCTCTTTGAGTTTTCGCATTGTCTTTTCCCCATTCTTTTTGATATGTTTCATCCCCCTGATGTTGAATTTTTACTGTTAATTCGGCTATTTCTGCATACTCCATAACCTTGTACTGCCATTCTTCTATTGTAGGCAATTTTTGCTGTTTCCATACCTGAGCCAGCAGTAACCTCGCCGCCGTTGTTGTGTATAAGAACAGTTTCTGGTCATTCTTGTCAATGTCTTCTCCCACCATTCCCGACAGGAATGACTCTGGTTTTTTCAAAAACGTATACCTAAAAATCTTCTTTAATTCGTTATATATATTTTCCCAATACATTTTCACTATGTCACAAGTCCACCACATGTGGAAGAAACTGCCTTCTTTCACCCCACACTTCCAACAATTTTTATTTCCTGTTTTATACATCTTTGACAATTTAATTGGCATGAGGTACCATCTGTACATAATTTTTAACAGATTTTCTTTTAACAACGTACATGCTATAAATTTTAGGCCTGTCTTCCATAATTTTATCCACTTTTCATACTCAATGTTGTGGCCTACATCTATTGCCCACTTAATCATGACACTTTTGATTTCTTCATCTTTTGTGTGCCATTCTAATAAATACTCATAGACCTTAGGCAGTGCTTTTTTGTTATTTTGTAGTACTACAGTTTCTAATATTGATTTTGTTTGTTCAAACCCTCTTGTTTTCTTATCCTTTGAGTAGATATCACCCATTTGATGGTACTCCATCCAACTTTGCAGTTTATCTTTCAATTCCTCATATGGTTTGATCTTAATTACATTGTTCTCTTCCAATAGCATGTCTCTATAGGTCAACCATTTTCCTTTCATATTTAGTCTTTTCAGTGAAAAAGCCTCTTGGGGTGACGGCCACCATGGCGTCTTTCTTTCGAACCACTCTTTATATCTTTTCTAGACTTCAAATAGTGGTCTTTTTATGATGTGATTTAAAAAGTCCCAATGTACTCTGACCTTGTCATATCAAAGGTATGCGTGCCACCCATATCTGTTTCCGAAACCTTCCAGATCTAATATATCCATATTTTCCAAACTAAACCACTCTTTTAACCATATTATAGATGCAGCTTCGTAATATATTTTGAGGTCCGGTAGTGAAAAGCCTCTTTCTTTTTTGTCCATTAAAAGTTTGAATTTTATTCTAGGCTTTTCCCCTTGCCATACAAACCTGGAGATCAGTTTTTGCCACTCATTGAATTGGCCTTGTCCTGTTATAATTGGAATGGTTTGAAATAAAAAGAGCATTTTTGGTAGGACATTCATCTTAATAGCTGCTATCCTTCCACAGAAGGATAGAATCATAGAATCATAGAGTTGGAAGAGACCACAAGGGCCATCGAGTCCAACCCCCTGCCAAGCAGGAAACACCATCAGAGCACTCCTGACATATGGTTGTCAAGCCTCTGCTTAAAGACCTCCAAAGAAGGAGACTCCACCACACTCCTTGGCAGCAAATTCCACTGTCGAACAGCTCTTACTGTCAGGACAAGTGCTGCATCTCTTGAGCTTTTTTTATCCACCAGGTGCGCTTTAGTTATCTGGTTCTTAGCGTTGGCATAGGTTTTTTTTTCTTAGTAGCACAGTTTCTATCTCTTTGCCACAGTTTCTAACTCTATGAAAGGCCTTCCTTTTCTTGCCAATAATGTGTTCAATCTCAGTGTCATTCTCATCAAACCAGTCCTTGGTTTGGTATCCAACAGTTTGTTCATAGGTTGCAATAATTGATGTTTTTAGCTTGGCCCAGTGTTCCTTGATGTTATTAGGGAACTCTGAAAGCAGATGGTCCTTAAGAGTTGTTTGGAAGCAATCCCACTTAATAGGATCTTGAAGGGTTTGAGTATTCATTTTGCACCCTGGTTTCCTTCCTTGAAGCCTGTGTTGAGGTATAAACTTGATAGCCATAGTGGAATGTATTAATCAGTGCTCTGTCAAGCAGTTGTCGGCACTCGCCATAGCTCTGGTAAGGAGCACATTACAGCAATCTTCAGCTTGAACAATTACATAGTCTAAGAGATGCCATTGGTTCGACTAAGGGTGTCTCCATGATGTTTTAAATTTATTTTGTTGTCAAAAGAGTGTGTTGGTAATAACAAGGTTGTGCACTGCACCTATAGGCCACAGATTGAAATCTTACTCTACTCTTGCATTAAAATTCCCCAGGAGGATAATTTTATCCTCCTTAGGCATCTCTGATAGGATGCTATCCAGCTGAGAGTAAAAAATTTCTTTAATGTCGTCATTGGCATCCAGTGTTGCCGCATAAGTGCTTAGAATAGTAGCCTGTTGGTTTTTTGTGAATTTTATTCAAAGGGTTGAAAGTCACTCATTAATGCCAGTAGGGAATTCTGAAAAGAGCTTCACAATATTGTTTTTGTTAGCAAAGCCTACTCCATGTATTTGACATTCTTGTTGAGGTAAAGCTTTCCAGAAGAATGTGTAGCCTCCTTTTTCTTCCTTCAGTTGTCCCTCACCTGCTCTTCGAGTTTCTTGAAGCACTGCAATATCAATGTTAAAACATCGCAACTCTCTTGCAAGAAAAGGAAAGGAAAGGGGGAAGGGGAAAGGGGAAAGGAAAGCTGGGGGGAGGGGGAAAATCTGCAGAGAGGAGATGCACACTTGGCCAGAAACTGCAGAGGTGAGGAAGGCTGAAGTTCATGTTGAAATAATCATCTGCTTACTTTGAACCTAATATCTCTCTCCTCCCTTATGACCCAAACGGTAGATGGCAAAGCAATATGGAAACATTTATACCTTATGGGGAGGACCACTAGCTGTGGTAGTACTGTCTGGATATGAAGCAGTGAAAGAAGCACTCATTGACCGCTCTGAAGAATTCTCTGAGAGATTAGAGACGGCTTTTTTTAATGATATAATAAAAGGAAGGGGTAAGTAGTCAAGAACGAGAAGTCCTACTGCTATTTCCCCAGGTAAAACATTTAAAGAGGATATCTGGAAAAAGAGAACAAAGGATCTCTCTTAATGTTGCAATCAACAGAAAATGGGTTGTATCCAATGTTAGCTCTACTCACAATAGACCCATTACAGTTAATGGACACAGCTAACTTAGGTCTTAGGTTTGACCAAACTGCAGGAGGCAGTGGAAGACAGAAGTGCCTGGCGTGCTCTGGCCCATGGGGTCACTAAGAGTTGGACATGACTAAACGACTAAACAACAACAACTTAGGTCTGTTAATTTCAATGGGTCTACTCTGAGTACAACTTAGCAGGCTCAAGTGAGCTCTAATAGTAACAAGTGGTGTCGTTTTTGTTTAGTCATTTAGTCGTGTCTGACTCTTCATGACCCCATGGACTAGAGCACTGTACTTAACAGCTGGAAGGAGCTGTCAACGGACAGTAACAGAAGCATCCTTTTGCTTTGTTCTTCCCACCACCTTGCTGTTTTCTTCTCACTGCCTGAATGCAAACTTGTCCTGCAATCTGCTGAACCCCAAACTGACAAATGCCTAAAAGTCTCACATTGGAGTGAAAATTCAACTGTCTGCTCCAAACAGAGAGCAAATTGTACTTAATTGTAAACCAGCACCAATGAAGAAGAAGAAGAAGAAGAAGAAGAAGAGTTTTGGATTTGATATCCTGCCTTTCACTCCCTTTAAGGAGTCTCAAAGCAGCTAACATTCTCCTTTCCCTTCCTCCCCCACAACAAACACTCTGTGAGGTGAGTGGGGCTGAGAGACTTCAAAGAAGTGTAACTGGCCCAAGGTCACCCAGCAGCTGCATGTGGAGGAGCGGAGACGCGAACCCGGTTCCCCAGATTACGAGACTACCGCTCTTAACCATTACACCACACTGGCTCTTATGACCTTGAGCCTTAGACATAACAATAGGTGCATTGACCCTGAGCCAAGTATTTCAATTAGCTGTTGCTGAATGTGCAAATTACTGATGGGAACTTCCATTTGTGCTGTGCTTTGTAGGCAAAGGTTCAGGATTTGTTGAGATGCTATTCCAGGCTGTATCAACAGACGTATAGTATCTAGATCAAGGGAAATAATAGTACCTCTCTATTCTGCTGTGATCAGATCCCACCTGGAATACTGTGTCCAGTTCTGGGTGCCACTATTTAAGAAGGATGTTGAGAAGCTGGAATGTGTGCAGAGGAGGGCAACTAGGATGATCAATGGTCTAGATACCAAGCCTTATGAGGAATGGTTGAAGGAGCTGGGTATGTTTAGCCTGGAAAAGAAGAGACTAAGAAGAGATATCTAAAGGTCTGTCACTTGGAAGATGGAGCAAGCTCGTTTTCTCCTGCTTTGGAATGTAGAACTTGAACCAATGGCTTCAAGTTACAAGAACGGAGATTCTGACTAAACATATGGAAAAACTTTCTGACAGTAAGAGCTGTTTGACTGTGGAACAGTCTGCCTCAGGAGGTTGTGGACTCTCCTTCCTTGGAGGTTTTTAAGCAGAGGTTGGATGGCCACCTCTCTTGGATGCTTTAGCTGAGATTCCTGCATTGCAGGTGGTTGGACTAGATGACCCTTGGGTCCCTTCCAACTCTAAGATTATATTATTCTATGATTCTATGATCAATCAGCAGAATTGGCACTACTACAGGTGCCACATAATAAGTGTTCCGTATTTGTAAGAACTTGGAAGTTTAGAGCATCAGGTCCCACAGTTTGGAACTCCCTGCCTGTTGAGATTAGGTAGGCCCTTTATTCTTTTTGGTGTATAAAAAACATCCTTGCTTAGACATGCCTACCCAGATGCTTAGAAAGTTGAGGCAAATTTGTTTTAGTATTTTAGCTTTTGCATATTTTAAAGTAGGGTTGGAATTTTTTCTGGATTTGATTGCCTAATCTTTTTGTGAACTGCTTAGAAGCTTTTTACTATAAAGCAGTGTATGAAATAAATAAATACATACGCAAAAGCTATAAAGGGCTAAGTGCAAGGTAAGACATTTGTTGTTGTTTAGTCGTTTAGTCATGTCCGACTCTTCGTGACCCCCTGGACCAGAGCACGCCAGGCACTCCTGTCTTCCACTGCCTCCCGCAGTTTGGTCAAACTCATGTTTGTAGCTTCGAGAACACTGTCCAACCATCTCGTCCTCTGTCCTCCCCTTCTCCTTGTGCCCTCCATCGTTCCCAACATCAGGGTCTTTTCCAGGGAGTCTTCTCTTCTCATGAGGTGGCCAAAGTATTAGAACCTCAGCTTCAGGATCTTCCCTTCCAGTGAGCACTCAGGGCTAATTTCTTTAAGAATGGATGCATTTGATCTTCTTGCAGTCCATGGGACTCTCAAGAGTCTCCTTCAGCACCATAATTCAATAGCATCATTTCTTCGGTGATCAGCCTCCTTGATGGTCCAGGTCTCACTTCCATACATCACTACTGGGAAAACCATGGCTTTAACTATATGGACCTTTGGTAAGACATAGATTGAACCGTAGGAGCCAACTCCTAGGGACTGAGAGGGCTTCCACCTCACAAATAAAATATTGGAGGGGGCTGCCCCCCAAGTTGATGGGCATTGACATTCAAATGGTGTGTGCGCACCATGTCATGTGATGGATTATGTGGGATAGGTCTTACCTGGGCCCCCACAATATTTTGTTCAAGTTGGCACTCCTGTATCGAACAAGTGACATGTTCCTTACACCTAACTATGTTGAATAAAACACAAGTGTGGTGCACCCAACAGAAATAAGCTGCAGTTTAAGTTTTTCTGCAGAAAGTATCACTGTATTAAATACCAATTCCCTCCCCCCAGCCCAAAATTATAATTTGTTGTTGTGTCTGACTCTTTTAGTTGTGTCTGACTCTTTGTGACCCCATGGACCAGAGCACGCCAGGCACTCCTGTCTTCCACTGCCTCCCGCAGTTTGGTCAGACTCATGTTTGTAGCTTCGAGAATGCTGTCCAACCATCTTGTCCTCTGTCGTCCCCTTCTTCTTGTGCCCTCCATCTTTCCCAACATCAGGGTCTTTTCCAGGGAGTCTTTTCTTCTCATGAGGTGGCCAAAGTATTGGAGCCTCAGCTTCATGATCTGTCCTTCCAGTGAGCACTCAGGGCTGATTTCCTTAAGAATGGATAGGTTTGATCTTCTTGCAGTCCATGGGACTCTCAAGAGTCTCCTCCAGCGCCATAATTCAAAAGCATCATAATTTGTAGAACTGCCCAAAGATGACCCAGAAGCTGTTTGTGGACAAACACCGGCTCCCTCGGCCAGTAAAGCAAGATGAGCGCACAACCCCAGTGTCGTCCACAATTGGACCTAATGGTCAGGGGTACCTTTACCTTTACTGTAAATTGCCGGAACTGCTGGAACCATCTGATTTGTCTTCTGTTGTTTTACAAACTGAGACAGCCAAGCCATTTGGGTGAATCACTTGTGAGTGTCTGAGTGCTCAAATAGGTTCTCTCAGGCACTGTATTCATTTCATTTTCATTCCATAAATTTTATATAAAGCTTGGCTGTAGAAAAGAAACTCAGAGTTGTTGTACAAAGCATGCAGTGCTGGCCTATATTGTAGAGATAAGCAAAGATGTCACCTTTGCTTCAGAGAGACAGAGTAGCTCTTGAGTGATAAACATAGATTCTTCTGGTTTAGCGGTTTAATTTTTAACATCAGTTTATGTAAGTAATAATTTCTCACTGATTTCCCATAGGTATTATATTATCAAATGGTCACACCTGGAGGCAACAGAGACGCTTTGCTGTGGTTACTATGCGGAAGCTGGGGCTCGGGAAGAAAGGCATGGAGCACCAAATAGCAGAGGAGGCCCATCAGCTTGTGGAGGTGTTTGCACGTTCAAAGGGTATGTGATGCTGATGGTGCTGAGCTGGCATATATCCCAGTCTGAAGAAATCTTTGTGTACTACTGCTGTACATTTTGGAAAGGAATGTTGATAGTTTTGTTTAAATCTAACATAAATATGTTCTCAGTATTAACAGGAGCGGCTGAACTAACATTAGTATAATTTTATTTTGCAGGACAACCACTTGACCCCACCTTTCACATCACTAATTCAGTCTCCAATGTGATATGCGCTGTGGCTTTTGGGCACCGATTTGCTGTTGAAGATGAACAGTTTCAGAAACTGATAGAAGCCATTAATTATTTACTAAAATTTCTGTTTTCCCCCACTCATATTGTGAGTAGTCATTTTCATTTCTACTGATCCAGACAGGTCTCCCAGAGACTATAAGTCCCCTTATCAGCATTCTGGAATCCATTATGATAGAGGTTAGACTGTTGGCCTCAGACAACTGAGACCAGGGTTTAAAACTAGTCATAGGCCATTTACTAGCTCACAGTTTAATCTATTTCTCAAGATTATTGTGCAGATTAAAAGATGTGAAGCAACTATGTACCCCACCTGGAACTCTTTGGAGGAAAGATGAGATGAAAATGGAACAATGACATACAGGTAATCTAGAGCCCATCTAAATGCAGAAAGAGGATGAGGCCAAAATATCTTCACAGTATGGGCATTCCATAGTTTTGGTACCATTATGGAAAATTGAATGTGTCTACTGTCTGGTACAATGTGTCTACTGTCTGAGAAGGATGTTCTTCTCATTATAGGGGATTAGAATGCTAAAGTAGGGAGTCAAGAGTTAAAAGGAACAACAGGCAAGTTTGGCCTTAGAGTTCAAAACGAAGCAGGGCAAAGGCTAATAGAGTTCTGTCAAGAGAACAAGCTGGTCATCACAAACACTCTTTTCCAACAACAAAAGAGACGACTCTATCTGAAATGATTTATTGCTCAGATAACAGTCCAGCGCGATTCGGCTGCAGCAGGCCTCTGCTTTGCAGCACGCATTCCAAAAGCATTCCAAAGCTCTGAGCAAAACAGCAGAGTCTAGCAGCGGTCAGAAAATAAGCCTTCTGCCTTCTGTGCTTCGGTGTGCATAAATCAGGCTCTCACGCAGAGTTACTAAAACTAAAAGCACTTTAATACAGCAAAATTATCCACGATCACGGAACATCGCGCAAGCGTGTCTGTTCCGGACAAAAGCGAAAGCAGAATAGAACAAAGAACTGAGACTCTCGGAAGTGACGCAGAGTCTCTCCGCCCCACAGTAGGCAGGACGCACACTCTGAGCTGTTTAACCCTGTAAGCTCAGGTTCTCCTCACACTCTACACATGGACATCACCAGATGGGCAGCATCAAAATCAGATTGATTATATTCTCTGCAGCCAAAGATGGAGAAGCTCTATATAGTCAGCCAAATCAAGACCTGGAGCTGACTGTGGCTCAGATCATCAGCTTCTTATAGCAAAATTCAAGCTTAAACTGAAGAAAGTAGGAAAAACCACGGGGCCAGTAAGATACAATCTAAATCAAATCCCTTATGAATACACAGTGGAAGTGAGGAACAGGTTTAAGGATTTAGATTTGGTGGACAGAGTGTCTGAAGAATTATGGATGGAGGCTCGTAACATTATACAGGAGTCAGCAATGAAAAAAATCCCAATGAAAAGGAAATGCAAGAAAGGAAAGTGGCTGTCCAATGAGGCCTTACAAATAGTGGGGGAGAGAAGGCAAGCAAGCAAGGTTATGCTCAAAATTCTACAAGGCAGGCTAAAGCAGTTTGTGGACTGAGAACTCCAAGAAGTACAAGCTGGATTTCAAAGGGACCAAAATTTCAAAGAGACCAAATTGCAAACATGCGCTGGATTATGGAGAAAGCCAGAGAGTTCCAGAATGGCATCTACTTTTGCTTAATTGACTACGCAAAAGCCTTTGACAGTGTGGGACCACAGCAAACTATGGCAAGTTCTTAAAGAAATGGGAATGCCTGATCACCTCATCTGTCTCCTGAGAAATCTCTATGTGGGACAAGAAGCTACAGCTAGAACTGGTTATGGAACAACTGATTGGTTCCATAAGGAAAGGAGTACGACAAGGCTGTATATTGTCTCCCTGCTTATTTAACTTATATGCAGAATTCATCATGTGAAAGGCTGGGCTGGATGAATCCCAAACCGGAATTAAGATTGCTGGAAGAAATATCAACAACCACAGATATGCAGATGACACAACTTTGATGGCAGAAAGTGAGGAGGAATTAAAGAACCTCTTAATGAGGGTGAAAGAGGAGAGTACAAAATATGGTCTAAAGCTCAACATCCAAAAAACTAAGTTCATGGCCACTGGGCCCATCACCTCCTGGCAAACAGAAGGTGAAGAAATGGAGGCAGTGACAGATTTTACCTTTTGGGGCTTCATGATCACGGCAGATGGCGACAGCAGTCACGAAATTAAAAGATGCCTGCTTCTTGGGAGAAAAGTGATGATAAACCTAGATAACATCTCAAAAAGCAGTGACATCACCATGCCAATAAAGATCCGTATAGTTAAAGCTGTGGTTTTCCCAGTAGTGATGTATGGAAGTGAGAGCTGGACAACAAAGAAGGCTGATCGCCAGAGAATTGATGCTTTTGAATTGTGGTGCTGGAGGAGACTCTTGAGAGTCCCATGGACTGCAAAAAGATCAAACCTATCCATTCTAAAGGAAATCAACCCTGAGTACTCACTGGAAGGACAGATCCTGAAACAGAGGCCACAATACTTTGGTCACCTCATCAGAAGAGAATACTCTCTGGAAAAAACTCTGATGTTGGGTAAGATTGAGGGCACAAGGGGATGACGGAGGATGAGATGGTTGGACAGTGTTATAGAAGCTACCAACATGAAACTGACAAAACTGTGGGTGGCACTAGAAGACAGGAGTGCCTGGCGTGCTCTGGTCCAGGGGGTCACGAAGAGTCAGACATGACTAAACGACTAAACAACAACTGTCTGATCACTGTATCTAATGGCAACGGTACACAGGACTCAGGGGCTCTGATACCTTCACATGGGAGAAATCAGTTCTTATGGTATTCAGGCTGTGGACCAGGTGTGGGGAACGTCTGGCCCCCCAGATGTTGCTCATCTACAATTGGTCATCTTTGGCCTTTGGCTATGCTGGCTGGTTCTGATGGGGTTGTGGTTCAGTAACATATAGATGGCCAAGGTTTCCCTCACCTGCTCTAGACTGTTAAGATATTCAAAGGTCAGCATGTTAAAGTTTAAATTGATTTACCCCGCCAAGGGTGAAAAGGGAACTAGGAAAAAAAAATGGTATCCTGGCTGTTGGCTCCTAAGGTCATAGAATCATAGAATTTTAAGGTTGGAAGGGACCCCAAGGGTTGTCTAGTCCAACCCCCTGTTATGCAGGAATCTCAGATAAAGCATCTATGACAAGGGACCCCAAGGGTTGTCTAGTCCAACCCCCTGTTATGCAGGAATCTCAGATAAAGCATCTATGACAGATGGCCATCCAACCTCTGCCTAAATACCTCCAATGAAGGAGGGTCCGTATCTTCCACCCCCATTCCTGGGGATCAAATTGATTTGAATGGTTATAGTAAAACATGCAGGAAACTATGATATGTAATATGAACCACGGAAGGAGAAGAAGGGCAGTCATTAGATGTTTCGAAGTTTGTAACACGCTTAATTTGATATGTAGAAAAATGAACTCCTATCTATATCTATATATCTATACGTATATCTATACATACATACATATACACACACACGTATGCATATACATACATACATACATACATATATGTGTGTGTGTGTGTGTGTATGTATATATATGTATGTATATAAACAACAAGCTATGTATTTGGTTCTTAGCGGGGAGTGAAACTTGAGCAAAATTGAATTTCTCTGCTATCCATATTCTCCATCCCCATCCCTGGTCTGGAATAGTGCAGTTTTAGAATGAAGCCTGAAAGCTGGCAATATATTTCAAACGCTAGTTTTCATTCCACTTTTCAGCCAAGCTTAATTATCATAATCCAGTCATTGTGGAATTCTGAAGATGCTGTTGACACCCACCTTCTTCTCCATGAGAGTCAACCTAATATACTATCTGTGAGGAATAACCCAGATCATGTTATTTAAGCACTAGCCCACAGGAGTTGATTCATGAACAGTGTGACCAAGCTTCTTCATGGTAATGGCAACGTTTTTGCTATCTTTACTTTAGCTGTATGAAATATTCCCATGGATTATGAGATATCTCCCAGGGCCCCACAAGCAGGCATTTTCCAGCCTGGATACGGTGATTTCATTTGCAAAGGATGAGATGGAGAAGCATAAGGAGACTTCGTCTCTGCATGAGCCACAGGATTTCATTGATTTCTATCTACTTGAGATGGAGAAAGTAAGTACTGAATACCAGGACTATAAAACAGGAGGGCTTCATTAATCAATGCAGAGTTCAGAGTACATGTGGGGCACACTGTATCAAAATATATCACACCATGCACCCCATAGTTAAATGGTAATACAATCCTGAAATTACTTACCAGTAGCCACAAATGCTGTATGCTGAGAGTCAAATGCTCTGTGTGTTTCTGTACACATTGCTTGGCTAGATAGCAGCTCTGCAAAATTCAGAGAAATGAGAATTTTGAAGGATGGCTGCATTTTCACTACTGGTATTGCTTTGAAAAATAAACAACTCTGTATGTGGTTTGCAAAAATTCCTTAACAATACACAACATGCTTATAAGAATATCCTTATAAGATTATAAGCATGTTATGTATGATCTAGAGCTCCTTTTTGGGCTGACCAGAAGAAGATTCAAGAAACAGAGATTGAAATCCTGGGTATCCCATTGTTGCAGTTCCATCGGGATTGCACCAGCACAAGTATACACACAGAGAGTCATTCTGATTCACTTATTTCAGGAATATTTGGACACTTTGGCTTTGAGATACTGAGTTGCGTATGTCATTATTATTTTGACATTGTAGATATTATTTAAGATTCCATGTATTAGAAGGTTTTGAAATGTTGTACATTATTGTTAAGGAATTTTTGCAAATCATATACAGAGTTGTTTAGTTTGTGATTTATCTCTCTGTATTCATTGGGCATGGTGTTATTTCAAAAAGTACAAATTAAGCAATAATAATTTTAATAACTTTATTATTTATACCCCACCCATCTGGCTGGGTTTCCCCAGCCACTCTGCTTTTAAATGTGACCTGAATCATATCTGACCCACATTCCTAAATGGTACATAGTTGCATTCTGAAGAGAAATAATGCACACTTTTAGAGCCTTGTGACAATAATCTACAACAGAACCTCTCAAACTTTTCATGTTGATGACACACTTTTTAGATATGCATCATTTTACGACAGAGTAATTCAGTTTTACTAGCAAACCGGAGGTTAAACGAACCCCTTTCCAACCCTAGGAGGAACTCAGGGAGCATCCACACGACACAACTACACACTGGGGTTGACACACTAACATGTTGTGACACACAGTTTGGAAAGCACTGATCTACTCAATGAAAGAGACTCAAATATATTCAAATGCTCACAGGGCAAAAAGTTGGCAAAAGAAGCTAAAGTAAGTGATGGAGAACAGACTATAAGGCATATAAATGACATGTCACCTTTCTTATTTTCAGCACCAGAACAGGAATGATCCAGTGTCTACGTTTAATGAAGACAACCTGGCCCAATGCATTTTTGACTTCTTTGTAGCAGGGACAGAAACAACCGCCATTTCTCTGAAATGGGCACTTCTCCTCCTTGCAAATCATCCAGATATCCAAGGTGAGAGAGGGAGACGTGCGCAATGGGAGCCAAAAGACATTGAAATAAGCTAAATGTTTTTGACTTACATCTCATGGAAGATCATTCTTCTTCACAAATGTTTCCTTATACAGATTCTGGAACTTATAATCAAACTCAACAGTGTGGTAGAAGTAAAAAACTAATTTGCCCTGAACACCCCATGCCCATAGAATACTTCCAGTCTATGATTACTGGGACAATAAGAGATGGAGGGTCTCAATTTATAATTAAATTCATAGGAGAGGGTCAGGGACAAGAATGTGCCCCTGTTGTTAGACTAAAGTGAATTCATCAAAGTTTTTCTGAAGGAGAGAAGAGTGGCTTTGCAAATAGAGGGAAGACAATTTGAAGACTGGGATGGTCAAAGGAAGGGAGAGAAAGAGATGAATGTTTTTGCCAGTGATGTCATGGTGAATCCAGAAATCCAGGCTCCCTTCATGACAACCCCCAAGCCATTCCCCTTCTAAAACTCTGCAACCAAAATGAAATGTTGACCAATGCACAGATTATGACTTAATGAAGTCATGTTTTTTCTTACTCCCTGCCCTTCCGCTTTGCTTAACATCCAGCTTGGAAGAATTCTGGTAGACCTGCTCAATCCCTTGTGACATTTTGGTTGGCCATGATATCTTTCCAAATATAAGTAGCAGCTGAGATTAGGGAATTTTCCAACTTTCCAGACCTAGGAACTCACCTTTAGCTGAAAAATGTTTTTGGAGGAGCACTTCTTAATTTTTTACCAGATATTTATATGGTGGCAGTGCTGGTGTTGCAACCCACTTTAGGTCGGGAAAAATCCTGGTAGTGCAGCCACCTTGACCCACCAGTGGAAGTAGCAGTTAGAATGTCAAACTAGGATTGAGAAAACCCAGGTTCAAATTCTAATACAGCTATGAAACCCTCTGGGTGGCCTTAGACTAGTCCGTATTTTTCAGATTAACCTATTGTCCCAGGTTACTAATGAGGTTTAAAAAGAGTGGAAGAACCATGTATATTGCATTGAAGTCCTTGGAGGAAAATATGGGCTATAAATGCAATAAATAATATAATAATATAAATGAGCTATAAACTGGGATTCATTCATATATCTTCTTAGAATAATTTCATGGTAAATAAATATCCTGGAAAAAAATGTTCTTGTCAAAATAAACAATGCATTTCCATCATTTTCTTCAGATAAAGTTCACAAGGAGATAAAAAATGTTATAGGTTCTTCTCATTCAATGTGCTACCAAGATAAGAAGAAACTGCCCTACACCAATGCTGTGATTCATGAAATGCAGCGCTTTAAATATGCCTTTGTAAGTGGAATTCCCAGGCAAACGGCAAAGGATGTGAAGATACATGGTTCTCTTATTCCCAAGGTAACAGCTGCATTCTTGTATATCAGGAGCATATAGGGCTGGATCATAAGTGGCGTAAACCTCACTTATGAGCTGCCGAAGCACATGTTCTGGCTCGTAATAGGGCCTACAATGTGGTGGCAAGGGCAGAGGTTTTATCCTACTTTGCTGCCTCCATTACATCCTCGGGGAACCATTGAGCAGAGTTATTCTGTGTCATCCAGAGGTTAGTAACTTGTGACTGGTGAGGTGGATCTCCTGAACACATGGTGACTAGCTGTAACTGGATAGCTAAACATTTCAAGGATAAAGTTGTTTGGCTCTGCAGCAATTTAGATGCTGCTATTGAGACTGTGCCAGCTAAGGTGTCCTACAAATTGTCAGGCCCAGTATTGTGGAATCAATTCCAATTAATAATCTCAGGGTTGTGGGTTTGAGCCCCATGTTGGGCAAAAAATTCCTGCATTGACCCTTGTTGCCCCTTTCAACTCTACAACTCTACAATTCTATGATTATTATTCTATTACAGTGGCACCTTGGTTTAAGAACAGCTTAGTTTATGAACAACTTGGATTAAGAATGCTGGGTGGGGTGACTGGATCGATCAGAGGTGTGGTAGTGTGATGGACTGGTGCCTGTTGCGCTTAAAGAGGCGGTGGTGTTCCACTTCTCATAAATCCCACTCTAGACCCAATGGAGTGTAACAACTATAGACGGGCTGCCAACACACCTTTCTTAGCAAAGGTGTTTGAGATGGTGGTTGGAGAACCGGTATTCCTGCATACTCTTCAACTGCTCTGAAAATGCTGGGACTGTCACAAAAACCCTTAAGCCATCTGACTCTGTAATGCAGAGTTCTGAATTCCCAGATGAAAGCCTTTCCCACCAACCATCACACTTAAAAAAATAATCAAATCTTTATTCACATTTTCATTCCTTGCTCCTTCCATCTCCTGGCCAGGGAAAGAGAGAAACAGCAACTTACTTCAGGTTCTCATTTGCACACTCTTCTGAGCTGTTCAGCAACATTATACACAACAAGGAGAGTCTGCTCTGCATCCAAAACTCTTAGGTCCCTGCCCAGTTTCTTTGCATTGCTGCCTCGTCTTTCATTCCCAGTTTCATTTGAGAACCTGAATTATCAGAGAGCATTCTGGATTAGTTGTAGTTTCCAGGTCACCTTCAAAGGTAGCCCCACACAGAGTGAATTGCAGTAGTCCAAGTGAGAGATAACTAGAGCATGCACCGCTCTGGTGAGGCAGTCCGTGGGCAGGTAGGGTCTCAGCCTGTGTACCAGATGGAGCTGGTAAACAGCTGCCCTGGACACAGAACTGACCTGCGCCTCCATGGACAGCTGTGAGTCCAAAATAACTCCCAGCTGCACAACTGGGAGTCCTCCACACCTGCCCGCCTCCTGTCCCCCCAAAACAGTACTTCTGTCTTGTCTGGATTCAACCTCAATCTGTTAGCTGCCATCCATCCTCCAACCACCTCCAGACACTCACACAGGACCTTCACCGCCTTCACTGATTCTGATTTGAAAGAGAGGTAGAGCTGGGTATCATCTGCATATTGATGAACAGCCAGACCCAACCCCCTGATGATCTCTCCCAGCGGCTGCATGTAGATGTTAAAAAGCATGGGGGAGAGGACAGAACCCTGAGGCACCCCACAAGAGAGAGCCCAGGGGTCTGAACACTCATCCCCCAACCCCACTTTTTGAACACGGCCCAGGAGAAAGGAGCGGAACCACTGTATAACAGTGCCCCCAGCTCCCAGCCCCTCTAGACAGTCCAGAAGGATGTTATGTTCGATGGTGTCAAAAGCTGCTGAGAGATCCAGCAGAACTAGGAAAAAGCTCTCACCTTTGTCTCTAGCCCGCTGGAGATCATCAACCAGCACAACCAAGGCAGTTTCAGTCCCATGATGAGGCCTGAATCCTGATTGGAAGGGATCCAAATAGTCCGCTTCTTCCAGGCGTGCCTGGAAGTGCTTGTAAAATGAAACCGTTACGCATTTTACATCCTGCTCAAGTAAACAACTTACTTGATTGATCTTTCTTGTTTCCATGAATGTTTTATTGCCTTTCGTGTGCAACCAGCCCTTCAAATGTGTTTCCAAGAAGGCTGCACTGATTGATTACTCTGCTGATTTTAAGACAGGCACACGTGGAAGTGTTGCTGGACCCAGAGATTTATGAGGATACCCCATATCATACACCTGCACAATCACAACAACAATAATTGTTCAAAGTTATCATGTTTCCAAAATGCTCATAAATGCATGACATCACATAGTCTCCATACACACAAACACATAGTTGTATTTATTGATTTGAGGTTTTCTTTTTCCGCCAGGCTTCCCTAAATGAAATACATACCGTATTTTTCGCTCTATAACACGCTCCCAACCATAACACGCACATAGTTTTTAGAGGAGGAAAACAAGAAAAAAAAATCTAAACGAAACAGTGGATGTATGATTTTTGTGGTTCATGCTGTGGCCACAGACATGTGATCTTACGGTGAGTTTGGGGTAGCCCAATGCAAAAATCCTGAGGATCCACGTGGATCCGTGCTTTGTAACCACGTTTTTGCACCACTGCGGCCCCAGGCAACAGTGGGTGCGTGGTTTTTTTGGTGCAAGCTGTAGCCATGGACATGCTATGTGATCTGATGGTGAATTTGGGGTGACCCAGTGCAAAAATCCTGAGGATCCGTGTGGATCTGTGCTTTGTAACCATGTTTTAAGTGGGGAGGGAAGGAAAAGCACTCAAGGGACAAGGAACACGCATGGGGTGGGTGGAGAAGGATGCTGTTAATAATGCAGAAGAGGGGTATAAGAGGAGAAGGCTCTTATAAGAGGAGTGGGGAGGAGAGAGAGACAGAGAGCCTGCTTGAAAAAACGTTGCTGCTATTTAGCGAGTGGGGAGGAGAGAGAGACAGAGAACCTGCTTGAAAAATCTTTGCTGCTATTTAGCGAGTGGGGAGGAGAGAGAGAGAGCCCGCTTGAAAAATCTTTGCTGTTATTTAGCGAGTGGGGAGGAGAGAGGGACAGAGAGCCTGCTTGCTTTAAAGGAGCCAACCGGACAGGAACCGCTTACACTCGTGTAAGCGGCTCCTCTCCTCTCCTCTCCCGCTTTGCTCCTTTAAAGCAAGCAGGTTCTCTGTCTCTCTCTCCTCCTCACTCAGTGGCTCTTCTCCCGCTTTGCTGTTTCAAAGCGAGCCACGGAGGAGGGAAGGAAGGGGAACCATGGATCCTCTGCTCACGACTGCAGCAGATCCCCCCGCCATCCATAGGCATTCGCTCCATAACACTCACAGACATTTCCCCTTACTTTCTAGGAGGAAAAAAGTGAGTGTTATGGTGCGAAAAATACGGTAAATTCAAATATTTATATGCTTAAAATACTGCAATTTTGTGTTTCCTCTAATAACGTTGGTACTTGACCAGGAGGAAATACACAAACAGTGATACTGAGTTCAGAAGAAGTTTTAGAACTGAATCAGCTTTGGTCGCCCTGATGGATGGCTGTTATTGGCCAGAGGTCTCAGTCTAGATGTTGGGCTTTCCTTTGAAAAGAGGGGTGGAGAGAAGGAGGCCATTCTTCTCCTGGCTACACAGGTAGGTTTTAATAGGGAGAAAAGCTGAGGATGAATCTGGCCACTGGTAAATGACTTCCCTCCCCTGGCATATTGAGGGACATTTCAGAAATGTGTTGATCTTAGTGTGTTCAATGACAATGGTTTCTTCTTTACAGACGACTGGTATCTTTCCTGACCTGCGCTCTGTTCTCCTTGATCCCACACGATGGAAGACACCTGCAGAGTTCAACCCAAATCATTTCTTGGACAAGGATGGACAATATGTGGCTCGAGAAGAATACCTGCCATTTGGTGCAGGTAAATGCAGAAGACCAAGCTATGTTTTGATGTGTAGACATGCATATTGGGCTGCTCACAGGAAATGACATCATAATCAGCACATGCAAGAGAAAGTAGACAGCACTCTTGCAGGAGCAGTGGCCCTGCGACTCACCAGAACAGGAATGAGAAAGGAAGTGGCAACTTTGGGGAAGCTCTGGGTTGGTGATGGTGACTCTGCAGATGCACATACACTTTCAGGGTCTTCACCATCACCAACCTGAAGCATCTCAGACTTTGCCACCACCCTGCCCTATCCCTCCTTTGAGCTCTAAAGGAGACAGGAGTCCTGATTATTTCCTTGACCCAACTCCTTCCAACTCTACGATTCTATGAATCTACGACTAGTAGTTGGGCTTGGTTTTACAAAATATTATGTGGAGTATTTCAAAGTTATAAAATAATGATATCTGGAGACAGTGCAATTTTTCTAGAAAAAGAGGTGCTGGAACTCACTGTGAACCTCCCTCGTTCTCTTAGAATGGCAGTGATGCCCACCTGAGAGATGCTGGAACTGAGATCCAGTGAGTTCCAGCTGAAACCCCCCCCTGACTGGAAAGTAAGTTATTACTCAGTTGCTGATTTTCCCATGTCTCCTCTTCAGGGTCTCGCATATGTTTGGGAATGCAGCTGGCAAAGATCGAAATCTTCATCTTCCTGACCAGCCTGCTGAGGACATTCAGCTTCCGGCTGCCAGAAGGAGTGAAAGAACTTAATCAAGACCCTGTACCAAGGGTTGCAATGAACCCTCATCCTTATAAAATCTGTGCTATTCCCCACTGCAGGACATAATAAAACAGGGACTGGCACATCTCTCTCTCCTTCCTTTCCACTGAATATGATGTTCTGCCCTGACTTGCTCATTTTATCTGAAATTAACATAAGAACATAAGAGTTTTCTGGATCAAATTTAGGGTAGTTGTATACCAGGCAAAGGGCCCTTCTCGGTAGTGGCGCCTGCCCTGTGGAACACCCTCCCATCAGATGTCAAATAAATAAAAAACTGACTTTTAGAAGGCAGCCCTGTTTAGGGACGTTTTTAATGTTTGATGTTTTATTGTGTTTTTATTGTGTTGGGAGCCACCCAGATGGGTATGTATGTATGTATGTATGTATGATGATAATAATAATAATATAATTTATTATTTATACCCCGCCCATCTGGCTGAGCATCCCCAGCCACTCTGGGCGACCTCCAATCAGGTGTTAAAAACAACACAGCATTAAATATTAACAGATATTAACAGATCCTGGTTGGTGGAAGAAATTAGAAGAACATGGATTTAATAAATTAAAAGATCTGTTAGATGAAGACGGGAAGTTAAGGACAAAAAATAGCATTTTGGTAGGAAAACAATATTGGTTGAAAGCGCAAGGGCTATATAAATGAATAGAAGCAGAAAAAATAGAGGATATGATGAGTTCAGGATCAGTAATTGATGAAATACGTAACAAAAGACAAATAACAGAGAAAGGGATAGCAGGCTTGATATATAAATTAATGAAAAGAAATAAGGAAAGGATGATAAGGGTATTTCAGAATAAATGGGAGCGGGAAGGGCTGTTTCATTTGAATACGGTCCAAGAGGTGATGAAGAGTATAGATAAAATAAAAATGGATAAATATAAAGAATTAAGTAGGAAATTCCTATTGAAATGGTATAGAACCCCGGCGCAACTGGCGTGTATAGTTAAAGGATTGAGTCCTAAGTGTTGGCATTGTTGTCAAGAGTTAGGGGTATATGCACATATGTGGTGGGAGTGTATTTGTGTAAAGGAATATTGACAAAAGATTATAAAGGTTCTTTCTGAAGTATTTCAGGTTAAGATAGAAGGCAATAGAGAAATGTTTATCTCAGGAATACTGGGGAATAGTAAAATAGAAAGAAAAGAGCAAGATTGGTATAAAATTATGATCTTAGCTGGTATGCTTGTTATTGCATTAGGATGGAAAGAAAAGGATAAATGGACAATGGAAAAATGGAATGACTATGTTTTTGACTATATACAATCTGACATATTTGAACAGGTAATGACGGAAGATACATGGGAAAACAAATGTCAAAAGATTTTGAATAAATGGACAAGTTATAGGAATTGGATAGCACGGGGGGAAGCCAACCCAAGCATCCAAATTAGAATGAATAATCTGTGCACATGGTTAAAGATCTGAAGAGAGAACACGTGTTGGAGGGAGGGGTTAAAGGGGAGGGAGGAAGGGGGGAAAAATAGGATAAATGAGTATGGATAAAAGTATATACTGTTACGTATAACTAATAGGAGGAGGATTTTGATGCATGTTATTGTTAGATTTTCGACTGAATGATTTTTTTTTGTAAGTTATTCGACATCCCTGGATGAAAGTGTGATTATAAAGAATGGAAAATTTAAAAAATTAAAAATTAAAAAAGAAAGAAAGAAAAAGAAAGAAATCAGATTGGTCTGGCATGACTTATTTCTGAGAAACCCATGCCTGTTCTTAGTAATCACAGCATCCTTTTCTAAGTCCTCACAGACTGACCGTATAATTATCTTGTTATGTACTGAAGTTCTCACCCTGGGCCAGCAGGGGGATACTGTAGATAGTTGTGCAAATGAAGGATCGAAAGTGACGTTCAGTGATTGGATAGTTTTAGAAAGTTGTTACAGTAAGGTTGTTCTGGAGCTCTATATAAGCAGGCTGACTGAACCCTTTAGTTCAGTTCTGTTCTGGCTTGTGAATAAACCAGAGCTGTTTGAAGAATCGCTGTGTCGTCTGATATGTCCACCCACAACTTAACATATCTGTTCTAGGATCTTTCCTGGTATTGATATCAAGCTCACTGGTTGGTCGTTAGGTAGGACTCTCCCCCCCTTTTTGAAGATGGGTCTGCAGGGACCTCAAAGATCATAAACAATGTTTCTGAGATTACATCCGCAAGCTCCGTTACTCTTTTACTCTTGGGTGCAGCTCACCAGTCCCTGGAAGTTTGAAGCAGCTTAGGAGAGAGGGGAACCATAATGTACAAAACCCTGTGCTTTATTTTCCTTTACTGTCATGGAAATGGTGTCCCACACTTGCAGATGCCATGATACAGTGGTACCTCGGGTTACAGACGCTCAGTGGCGTAGCGTGGGGGGTGCAGGGGGAGCCGGCCACACCGGGCGCAACATCTGGGGGTTAGGGTTAGGGGGCGCAAATCCACGGGTTAGGGGGCGCAAATTACTTGCCTTGCCCCGGGTGCTGACAACCCACGCTACGCCACTGCAGACGCTTCAGATTACATACGCTTCAGGTTACAGACTCTGCTAACCCAGAAAGAGTGCTTCAGGTTAAGAACTTTGCTTCAGGATAAGAACAGAAATCGGGCTCTATCTGCGCGGCAGCAGCAGGAGGCCCCATTAGCTAAAGTGGTGCTTCAGGTTAAGAACAGTTTCAGGTTAAGAACGGACCTCCGGAATGAATTAAGTACTTAACCTGAGGTACCACTGTACAAAATATAATATTGTTCCCCATTAAAAATAATACTGTTCCCCCAATATTTTTAAGCAATTGCCCTTACAAGAATCATAGAATCATAGAATTGTACAGTTAGAAGGGTCACGACCTGAGGGTCATGTGCTAGCAGTTTTGGATGCACCACCTTTCGGATTAAGTATAATGAGTATATACAATAATAATAAGCATATACAATATAAGTACATACAATAATAATTGTTTGCAATTGTTTTTACTGTGCCATTTGCAGCAGAAGGCGGGGCGGGGGACAAGAGAGAGAGAGAGAGAGACAGACAGACAGACAGACAGATTTGTTGCCAGATTTATTTCCCATATTCTTTTTCTTCCTCTCAATTCCTGGCGGTCACTCTCACTTGCTTTGCCTCCAATCCATTTATCAGCTACTCCTTGTCCTTTGGCCCTCATTCTGTATCCAGATCCAGGAGGGGAGCACCAGGGCAGAGGCTGAGGATGGTCAGAAAAGGAGCCTCTGAGCATGGGCAGAGTGCAGCCACTCACCTGTCAGAGGAAGAGACTGGTCCCATCAGGAAACAGCAGGAGGGAAGGCCAGCACGTGAGGAGGAAGAACCATTTCCATCTCCAGGCCCTACTGGAGAAAGCAGCCTGCCACGCTCCCCTCTTGAAGCTTTTAGTCAATGAACCAAGTCGCAGCTATGAATGGCGTTTGGGGTGGAGAGAGGAGAAATGCGAACCCTGCAGATGATAAATATAGGGAAGCGTGCTGCTGCAGTGGGAGGGAGAAGTCAGATAGGACTATAGCACACTAGCTCCGGTAGTTCTTTTACTTTCATTCTCCTTTTAAACCAAACCAAAGCTATTTAGGGAGCTTACAAATGTGTTTCAATAAAGGCATCCTAGACTTCCATAAACTGAACTCCCCCCCAACCCCCCCCCCCACTAGGGGCCTCTCTCTCCCTAGTCTGCTGTTTACTCAGTTTATTCAGCCTGGTCAAAAATGAGCTTCAAGGACACACAAAGAGAGAGAACTTGACAGCAGCTAGTTGTGTCATTGCTGCTCTTAGCAGCAGCTTTGGCAGGTGGAGAGAAGGTGGCAGGGGAGGTCGTGGCAGCTCGTCGCAAGGTGATACTGGTGGGGGTCCATAGTGCAAGACCATTTTTTTGGTCATGTTAGGGAAACCACCGCCTCACCCCTTGCCCCTTCTCCCCAACCGCCTGGAGTAAAAAGTAGCTGGGGAGTAATGATTGGCGGCCAGCACTTGGCACCGGTGGACGGTGCCTGACGCTACTCCGGACAAGCTTCCACTGAAGCAAACTACTTCATGCTATGGCCAGCCATGGCTTTGAAGATTGCCTGCTAAAGTATTTGGCTTGTGCAGACAAATGAATCAGAAGCAGCAGACAGCCTTAGAAGGAGGCGTGCCCAAGGAAATACAGCTCTAGGTCCCGCTAGAAGTGTATTGTGGGTCCCAACAGAAAAGCCTTGATGTTCTACGTTCTCTTTCCCCATTGCAAACACACACACACACACACACACAAACAAACAACAAAAAATCAGTCCACAGTATGCTGGGGAGAAACATGGATGTGTTCCCTTAGGCAGCAGTTCTCAACCTGTGGGCCCCCAGATGTTGTTGGACTACAACTGCCATCATCCCTAGCTAGCAAGACCAGAGCTCAGGGGTGATGGGAGTTGTAGTCCAACAACATCTGGGGACCCACAGATTGAGAACTGCTGCCTTAGAGTGAGTGACGCTCCCACATGATGGAGGATGAGCTTGGTATAGCTTGGTGTAGTTGGAGACTTTTAATCTTAGGGTTGTGGGTTCAAGCCCCACGTTGGGCAAAATATTCCTGCATTGCAGGGAGTTGGACTGGGTGACCCTCATGGTAACTTCCAAGTCTACAATTCTATCATTCTATGTGGGTACTGCAGGCCCCGCCAATTCTCCTGCCTCAAGGACACAAAGTGCTGTTAATTCCCTCCTGCATAAATGAAAGGAGGAGGAAGGAGAAAAGAAAAAAGCCCTACAGGAATACACACACACACACACACACACACACACACACAACCCCAAGCCTCAGTCAACTTCAGCAGACAAGAAACACATGGAAGAGGCAAAAACAGGGTTGCCATATCTATGGAATTTCCTGGACATAGCCTGGATTTGGCCGTCGGAAACAGTGGGCAGAAATTGCTGTATGTCTGGGAAAATCTGGACGTATGGCAACCCATGTCAGAAGCTCAACAACTTTGCCCTGCCCCCAAAAGCTCAAGAACTCGTGTGTCTGGATTTTTGAAATATAGGAACCCTAGCCAAAAAGGAAGGCAAAAGAGAAATCACAATGACAGTGGTACAGAGTAAGGAAAAAGTTTTCCTCACTCAAAAAAGGAACCTGCCAACCTGACCAGAGGCAGGGCACAACTGGAGGAAAGGATAGCTTCTCCCTCTAGAAGAAGAGGCAAAAGACTTGAAGGGCCCTGCCTCTCCATTCCAGCAGGAGGAGTCATCCTGTTCACTGGACTTTCTCTAGTGTGCTCCAGCAAAGAGAAGTGCTGACGTCCCTGAGTAAAGCAAAGGAAGAAAATGGAACCTAACCAGGCATCCTAGAAAGAATCAAGGAGAAATAGAAGGCAGGAGGAGTATGGAGATATCGGCATTTTTTATTGCTCTGCTGGTGGTTCTTCTGATTCTGGACTACCTGAAACAGCTCTGGTCACGCAGGCACTAACCTCCTGGACTTCCTCAGCTTCTTCTCATTGGTGGTGCATGGCAGATTGGGTTGAAGATTTGTGAAGATACTTTCATTATGGTACTTACTTCTTACTATAACTTTGTCTAATGTGGTGGATTGGGGTGAAGATTCATGAAGACATTCTTGCTAAGGTATTTATTTCTCAGTAATAACTCAGACTCATGTGAACAATGGTTTTTATTTATTTCCCCCCCAAATAAGAAACTTTATAAACAATAACATCATTTTCAGGTAGGTTTAAATGGTATATGCAACGGCTACAATCAAACACAAACTAGGGTGTGATGAAACTCCTACATTCATAAATTATGGAATTAAAATGAAAATTTAATTAAATGAATTAGTTAATCGGGATTACTTCATTCCAAGCATGGTACCTTTGGCCACACACAGGTGGATCTAGCAGTTGCTATGCGGCATATTTTGCTACAAAAAAATGATAGAAGAAATAACCTGCTTGCAACATAGTGCAGTGCAGGTGGGCAAAGCCTCTGGCCTTCCAGGTGATGCAGAACTGCAACTCCCAACAGTGCTGGTCACTGGCTGTACTTCCTGGGGCTGGTGGGAGTTTTAGTTCTGCAACATGTGGCGGGCCAAGGTTTTCCACACCAGATCAAGGTGCACATTGTGAGCAAGAAGAGCAGGAAAGCACCAAGGTCAGTAAAACAGAAGGGAGACAAGCTCTGGTGCTACCATGCCCCAAACATTCTAATGCTCTAGTCAACATGGGTTTGTGCTTTTCAGTATTAATAAGAGCTTGTCATTTTTATATTGTTTTAAATATTGTGTTATGTGTGTTGCTTATGTTGTTGTTTAGTCATTTAGCCTCTTCCGCAAAAAGTTGCTCTTTGTCAGTCCATACTATTTATTTGTTTATTTGATACATTTATAAGCCACTTTCTCAGAAAATACTCTTCAAAAAGTACGAAATTAACCAGCCACCACATATTAGCATAATTAAAACTTTTATACCATCCAAAATTGGTAACAATCCCGAAAGCTAGAACAAAGTGAGATAAGATAGCTTTGTTATTTTTAAGCTTCCAAGTTGCCATACTTTACTTTGCGCTGCTACCAGAAATCTCTCTTTTTAAAAACCCTGTAAAAAGGTAAAGGGAAAGGTACCCCTGCCCGTCCGGGCCAGTCTTGACAGACTCTAGGGTTGTGCGCTCATCTCACTCTAGAGGCCGGGAGCCAGCGCTGTCCGCAGACACTTCCGGGTCACGTGGCCAGCGTGACGAAGCTACTCTGGCGAGCCAGAGCCGCACACGGAAACGCCGTTTACCTTCCCGCTAGTAAGCGGTCCCTATTTATCTACTTGCACTTTGATGTGCTTTTGAACTACTAGGTTGGCAGGCGCTGGGACCGAGCAACGGGAGCGCACCCCGCCGCGGGGATTCGAACCGCCGACCATACGATCGGCAAGTCCTAGGCACTGAGGTTTTACCCACAGCGCCACCCACGTCCCTTCCAAAAAAACCCCCGTAGCCTTCTTTTAATATAACTTTATTATATTGTTATAAAGAAGTTTGCTCTTTGAGTTACTGGACCGACCCAGCTTGGGTAGGTTCCAGAGATGGGTCAGTCTCTGCACATTGGGGTGTGGGGTGGGGAGTGGCAGCTTAAAATAAGGTTTCAATAAAGCAAGAAGGGAGTTAGAAAGTCTATGTTGTGTTGGTGTTTTAGTGTACACCTCTATGTACTACCCATCTCTGCTGTTTCTCCTTGTTAAAACAGTTTTTAAAAATAAATGAATAACAATTGCTCAGGATCCCTCCATCCTTGCTTTACTCAAACCTCTGCTGTTGTTTTAAACCACAGTGGTCTCAGTGTCCCTCCACCTCCATATTACTCTTAACTTCTGTGGTTGAAGGAAAGAATAGCGGAAGTTGGAGGAATGGCTGCTCTAAAATTCTCCCTCTTCCATTTCTTAGCAGCCACATGGGAGAGTGATAAAGGATGTGAAGTCATCAAATATCCCACAGTGCCTCCACACAACGTATTTCACTCCTGATCCCACGAGTTTTGCCCCCAAAATGAAGTTCCAGATTCAGTGTAGTGATTTGGAAGAGATATTTTTATTAAAAAGCAGATGGGATTCTACTCATCTTAAAGATACAGTCACATATATTGGCACGGGGAGTGTGCTGAAAGGAGGTTGTTCATTATATAGGTGTTGAGGAAAAAGGGGGAAAAGTAGTGAGGGTAGGAATGGGGATGCAAAGGAGTTGAAAAGAATTGAGGGATTAGGAGGCATGGATAGGATGGAAGATGAAAGGGGCATGAAAGAGCTTGAAGAATAGGAGGAGATGGGGTGACGGTGAAAATGGGCACAAAGCAGAGCTGCAGAGAAAAAGAGAGAAGAAGCCTCAGAAATGGAGCTGGGAAGGTGAAGAGAGACCACAGTAGTTGCATGAGATGGGAAGGGGAAACTCTATGTGTCAGGAGTGACAAAGGGTAAGCAGAGGAAGCAGAGGTGCAGCCCCATGTACTTTCATATTTTATTATGCATTGCAGCGGGGAACTGCACAGAGTTTATAAGGATGGGGATGTGCTGTAGCCCCCAGTAAAGCCTCTTTATTGAGTTCTTTCACTCCTTCCGGCAGCTGGAAGCGAAATGCCCTCAGCAGGCTTGTCAGGAAGATGAAAATTTCAGTATTTGCCAGCAGCATACCCAAACACATGCGAGACCCTGAGGATGAGACAAGGGAAAGGCAGCAAGTGAATAATAGCTTACTTTCCAGGGTTCATTACTTTGTAGCTATAAAACACTCTACATAATATGACATAATAAGGGCAGGAAATTACAAGAAGGAAGCAAGTGGAAGGAAAGGGCTCGTGGTTTTGGTTATCTCTATACTAACACACAGAACATGGAAAACTAAAACAAATTTGAACCATTAATACAGGATGGCAAATATGACCCAATAGCCACTACTGAAACCTAGTGGAATCAGACTCATGACTGGTATGTAGAAGACTGCTCTGCCCCTCATGCTACTGTTGCCATTTTCTGGAAGCAGACCAATAAGCATGCCTACAGATGCCTACAGGGGCATGGATGGCTTGCCGATCAGAAGGTCGCAGTTCAAATCCCCGTGACTGAGTGAGCTCCCATTGCTCAGTCCCAGCTCCTGCCAACCTAGAAGTTCGAAAGCACGTCAAAGTGCAAGTAGATAAATAGGTACCACTCTGGAGGGAAGGTAAACAGCATTTCTGTGCACTGCTCTGGTTTTGCCAGAAATGGCTTAGTCATGCTGGCCACATGACCCAGAAAAACTGTCTGCGGACAAACATCAGCTCCCTCGGTCAGTAAAGCGAGATGAGCGCCACAACCCTAGAGTCGTTTGCGACTGGACTTAACTGTCAGGGGTCCTTTACCTTTATCTTTTTTCAGATCACAACATAGCTTGGACTTTTGGATTTACCTGCACCAAATGCCAGAAACTCTTCTCTAGCCACATATTGTCCATCCTTGTTCAAGAAATGGTTTGGGTTGAACACTGCAGGTGTCTCCCATCTTGTGGGATCAACAAGAACAGAGCGGAAATCAGGAATAATATAAGTTCCCTGCAAAGAAGAAACAAATGATTGGCACTCAGACCAATACATTTCTGGATTGTTCCTCACTGTTCCATAACTAATCTTTGAAGAATTCAAACTGAATTCAAACTGACTAGGGTGTGGGTGTGTGTGTGTGTGTGTGTGTGTGTGTGAAATGCACATTTACCAAAGGCCAGATTCATTCCCAACCCCCCCCCCCCCAATTAATGAGCTACTTGTACAGGCAGAAACACAGGGTGACCTCCTTTTCCCTATCCCTCTTTTAAAAGGAACCCAGAAGATGACCTCTAGCCACTGAGTGTTCCTCCCCTGCCTGTCAGCATCGCCCTTGAGCCAGTGCCACCAACTGGACTCATCCACTTCAGCCCCGACTGGGCTAGGCGAGCTGGGTAGCACTTCCAGAGACCACCTTCTGTGCAGGAACAGGTCAAAGTGCTATGGACTCACAGCTTAGAGTTGTGAGCACCGGATTCACTCCCACAAGAAGACAGTCGTCGCACAGCAGAGTATAGCAGAGTATAGCAGAGCATAAACGACTCAGAGAGCAGCTCTGTAGAATATCTTCTTTATTCTATCTACAACTATAATACACAACTTTATACAGAGCTAAATGAGGTTTAAGCATAAATGAATGCTGAACTGCACTGAGTGTCTGCAGCTGCAGCAACCTTATCTATACACACAATCTCTAACACTCAGTCTCTCTCTCTCCGACACACTGACTGACTGACTGATGTTAGGCTGGAGTGGAATAAGTAGAGAGCAGAACACCGCCCCTCCTCTCTGGAAAATCACCAGACTCATCAGCAGATTCTTGGATATGGGAGGGGTGAAATCTCCTCATCGCCTCACATTCCCAACAGCACTAGCCAGTGGTGAAACATGTCTACAGATGGAGCTCCTGCTCTTGCTGCCCTTTTCCTGCCCTTCAAGTTTTTGACTACACAGGAAATTCCTCTATGGCTTTATGCATCTCTCAATATGTTACCCTAGGATTCTCTTTGCTCTTGAGATACAGGAATGCAGTTTGCCACACTTCTTTACCTTGGGAATGAGAAAACCACACAGCTTCACATCCTTTGAACATTTCCTGGCGATCCCGAAAAATAAGGCATATTTAAAGCGCTGTATTTCATGAATAACAGCATTGGTGTAGGGCAGTTTCTTCTTATCTTGATAGCAGATTGTGTGAGAAGAACCTAAAGCATCTTCTATCTCCTTGTGGACTTTATCTGAAGAAAATGATGGAAACAGAAGGTTTATTTTGAATACTGCATTTTATTTCAGATGGACATTTATTTTCCAAAAGGGTCTGGGAACGAGCCTCAGTTTCTTATCTTTATAGCCCATTTTTTACTCCAAGGAGCTCAAGTCAGTGTACATGGTTCTTCCCCGCTCTAGATCCCAGGTGTGAAAAGGTTGAAAGCAAACCTCATCTCAGCTGTTTCTGGTTACCAGAGCTGGCTGGATTTGCTGAAGGTCTGTGATCCAAGGCTGTCTGTTTTACACATTTTTTTTTAAAAATCCTCCACTCCTCAGCCCTCAATATTTCCCACTCTGTTTCACCAATCCTCCTTTTCCAGCTTGATCTTTGGCTAACATCACTCATGTAATGGAGCAAGGAGAGGCAGGGATGAGGCTCAGGTACTTATTTCACAGCAGGGGCAATGATGGCGCCCCCCGGGGACCTCTTGGCCAGCCCTCTGCAGGCTGAATAAATAAGAATTTATCAAAAAGAAAATCACCCACTAAGCCAAGCGGAGGTAAAGGTGGCTTACATTAACTGTGTGTTAAGCTACCATTTATATTTGGAAAGATTCCTTTATCACAGCCAAAGCAAATTTCAGGAGTGAATGAGCCCACCAGAACTCTTCTAGGCTGAATGCTGAGCAGGGTGTAATGTATGTGTGCAAAAGTGGGGCAATAATGAAGGAGTGGGTGGTGCTGCGGTTTAAACCACTGTGCCACTTGGGCATGCTGATTGGAAGGTCGGTGGTTTGAGGCCCCACAAAGGGGTGAGCTCCCGTTCTTCAGTCCTGGCTCCTGCCCACCTAGCAGTTCGAAAGCATGCAGTGCTAGTAGATAAATAGGTACCACTCCAGCTGGAAGGTAAATGGAGTTTCCATGCGCTGCTCTTGTTTCGCCAGAAGCGGCTTAGTCATGCTGGCCACATGACCCGGAAAACTGTCTGTGGAAGCGGACAAACGCCGGCTCCCTCGGTCTGTAAAGCGAAATGAGTGATGCAACCCCAGAGTCATTCACGACTGGACTAAATTGTCAGGGGTCCCTTTACCTTTTAATGCAGGAGCAAGGAGGGGGTCTGAGGAAAGGAAAGGAAACGTGCCCCCAATGCCACATGCTTATCTGCTGCCGTCCTTGTGCACGGCACACACTACTCTGCAGTGAGGGGGTGGCGGCTTGCATTTATGTATTTATTCTACTAATTTGGAAGTATGCTTGATGTTTTAAGCATCTCCTGGCACTGTACATTATGTACAATATAAAAACAATATCCACCAAAACAAAAACAAAAATGCTTCATGAAAGGCAGAGGGAAGGGCATTCCACAACACAAGAGCAACATTAGAAAATTCCTATTTTGGGGTCACCATCCTACTGCATTCTGTAGGGTGTTGTGCTACCAGCAGAATGCAAAGGGTTAATGCTCACAAGGGCTGTAGAACTCTGTGATGCCATACATGTATGTCAAAAGCATTCAGCTTATTTCAATAACGCTTTGTCTCCCCAAACTTCCATCATAAGCTCACTTACTTTTAACTCTTTCTGATGTTTTATGTTCTTTGTTTTATCATCTCATTAGATGTGAATGAAACCTTTAAATAATTACGGTCCACTCTAGAGATCAAGAGAAGCCCAGGCTCCCATTGTTCCCTCTCTCACCTTGGATATCTGGATGACTTGCCAGGAGGAGAAGCGCCCATTTCAGAGAACTGACAGTTGTGTCTGACCCTGCTACAAAGAAGTCAAAAATACACCAAGCCATGTTTTCTTCATCATAGGTGGACTCTGGGTCATTCTTGCTCTGATGTTGAAAATGAGGAAGGTGACAAGTCATTCACATGCATTACAATCTGTCCTTCAGCACTGACTTTATCTTCTTTTACCCAGTTACTACAATGCAACTAACATATGCTTGATGAAGGGCAGGGCATCCCATTACACTGCTTGCTGCAAAATGGGAAGATGCCACCACCACTGCCCTGCTGCCACTGCTGCCCCCCCTTACCTGAATCACACAACAGTGCCCACAAAGTGGGCTGGATAGAAAGATCCCACTTCTTGCCATTCCACCACCCAAGGCAGCTGCCTCAGCCTGCCTAATGGGCTGGCCGGCCCTGTGCTTCATAGTTGGTTGTGGCAAGAGATCTATGCACATCTTCCTGTGACCACAGTTGTAGCTGCTGGTGCTGCATTTGAGGATCTGTGGTTTGGGGTAATAATCCAGCACTGGCAGGAGGAGAGGGATCCAATGGAATCTCTCTGGCAGCACACATTCAAAATGTGCACTAAAGCGACCCCTGACCATTAGGTCCAGTCGTGACCGACTCTGGGGTTGCAGCGCTCATCTCGCTTTATTGGCCGAGGGAGCCGGCGTACAGCTTCCGGGTCATGTGGCCAGCATGACTAAGCCGCTTCTGGCGAACCAGAGCAGTGCACGGAAACGCCGTTTACCTTCCCTCCGGAGCAGTACCTATTTATCTACTTGCACTTTGACGTGCTTTCGAACTGCTAGGTTGGCAGGAGCAGGGACCGAGCAACGGGAGCTCACCCTGTCACGGGGATTCGAACCGCCGACCTTCTGATCGGCAAGTCCTAGGCTCTGTGGTTTAACCCACAGCGCCACCCGTATCCTGAAAATGTGCACTACTTAACACTAAATATAATTATTTATTCTTTTGTCACCATAATGAAATTATGTTAAAGTTTGTTGGGTCATATATCTTTGACCCACTGAGTCTGCTGCAACGGCCCTGCAATAAATTTGATTTATTGCTACTCCGACAAACTTCCAATGGCGCCCACACGCTTCCACTCCGTGCGCTGCCAGTCTCCTCAGTTGCTGGATAATAGCAGAGTTCACATGCAGCATCAAATGGCTTGTCTGTGTCGACGTGGTGTCCTCAATAACGCAGCTCGACACCAGTGCTTCTAATCCAAAACTCTTTATTTAGTAGCACTCATAACAGAAAAGAAAACCTGCAGAATCTAGCTGCACGTTCGCAGCTCTCTGCCTCTTAACAAAAACTGAAACAACCTTGCTAACGTCCCCAGACAGACTGCTCTCCAGAGAGAGCTCAGCCCCCACAGAGCACAGATCAAAGGAACAAAGCATGGATCATGTGGGCAGTGCACCCAGTTGATAAGAAGGCTCCTGGAGTGTTAACTCCTGACAGTCCAGAACCGCAACAAATTATATTTTTAACCTTCTAGTGTATGAATATAGATGGGTCAGGGGTTTGAATTCTGACTCCCCTCCCCCTGTGTGTGGCGTGTAATAAGACATTTGCCACTGTCCACTTGGATTGTGCCCAGACTGAGGTTTCATATTCTTCACCCTCACAACAGTCATGTAGGGTGGGACATTTGCTGTTCCTGTTTTCCTGTGGGGAATAGAGACTGATCCTATTCAGCTCTTGGTAATGTGGGGACTTGAACTGCGGCTTCTCCTAAGCCTAAGCAGATTTTAATAACACCTGGGGTGGGTAACACTGAGGGTTATATTAGACTTCCGGGTTAGCGCCATCGGCGAATGGCAGAGTTCCTCCGACCGGAGGAACTGGCTCCGTGGAAACTGGGTCGTCCCGCCGCGGCGAAGGTGGGGACCCGCTGGAAATCCCAGGTGGAGGAAGCCTGGGAACGTGGGGTTCGGCAGGGCACCAGGAGCGCCCCCCTACTCACCGGGAACCCCATTTCGGGGCTCCGGAGTGAAGTGGGGTGAGCGGCGTGGTGCTGCGAACTGATTGCTACTTTCACGGAGTGAAGCCGCACAGCCATTGCCGGAGAGCGCTGACTTTTTCCTGTGGACAATTGGATTTAAAACAAGTACCCGTGAGTAGAAACGGAAAATTGGATCAAGAAAATATCTTAATTTGGCACCGAAGCGGGAAGGTTCAAAACAGGAAGTCCGCCTTCCGCTTTTTGTATATAGACTGAAGCAAAAACCTTGTAAGCTAAAGCCTGGAAAGTCGTTAAAAAAGTCTAAATTTCCTTCATTTATAACTACTGAAACCCCCTTGGAAGCAGGAGAAAAGGGGGGGGGACTTTGTTTAACGCCCGCAGGAGAGGGAGTGAAGAAAGATAAGATTCCACAGTCTCTAACCTGGGAACGGGGTGTCAGAGACAGAAATTGTTGGAGAGGTTCATTTACTGTGAATGGAATACTTTGACAGATAGCTAAAGAAGAGAAATAAACTGATTCCAATGTTGCCTTTTGCATTCTAAAGAAACAAAATATCTGAAAAATGAAAGTAATTTTTCTTTGTTGGACTTGCCTTAAAAAAAATGGATACAAATAGAAATTGTCTCCTCTCGAGGGAGCTTGCTAAATTGTTGCTGCAGTCTACTTGAGGACTCTACAGCTGTCAGATTAAGATCGTGGGACCAGTCCTTTTTGACCTTGACTAAACATGAGCTGGGAGGAAGTTTTGGTGCTTGCTTTATGCAAGACAAGTGCCTTGTTGGAACAGATGCATGAGAAGATGGATTTGATGAATGAGAAAATGGATTTGGTGACTGTTGTGGTTAATAACTGTGGACAAACAGGGAATATTGATACAGAAACCATTCAGGAACCAACTCAGGAACCTGTACTGATTGGGCAAGTGCAGAAGATAATGGAGGAGGTTGCGGTTGCACTTCAAATAATACAAATGGAGAGACCCGAGGCCCTACAGGAGCATAAGCCGCTGTCTTTGAAGGTTGAAGTTGGAGGGGGCCAGGGGGAGTCTGGAGCTGAGGAGGTTCTTAACTTTGGAGAGACCTTGAAATATGCTTTTAAATATTCTTTGGACTACATTGATGACTGTGGCGAGTGGGACTGTGGGGAATGGGCTGGTTTGATGAAGGGAGACGGAGATAATTTTGGGTTGGAATCCCCCAGAGACCTACTCCTCAATGAGAAAGGAAAGAAATTAAGAAAGAGACCAACAGAAGACAAGGAAAAGTGCAAGTATAAACAAGAAGAAGAAGATCTGCAGAAGGGACATGGAAGAGACTTAAGGGCCTCGGACATAAGATTACCTGGTTGATGGACTAGATGGAATGGACAGTAAGGACTAACACGACCCGAGACCAGGAAGAAGAGACGCTGGATGAAGATTGGAAGAAAATTTATAAATAATTTTTTTTCTAGGGAATTAGCCTAAAATTAATGAATATTAGGGGAAATGTTGGAATGAAACTATATGACTCTAGTAGAAATGATATCAGGAGTTATGTATAATTGAGTATTAAGCTTTAAGCTCTAAAGTATTTTTTGGTAAGATAAGGTTAAATAAATTAAGGTAATTTGAATAACAGAATATGGGGAAAAGATGGAAAGGATTTGTTGAGTTAATTAATAGGTTAAATTGTTAAGATAAATTATTTAATAAAAATTGAGAAAGATGGAAAGGATTTGCTGAAATATCTAATTAAACTAGAATACAAAAAGGGAGGCGTGAGGAGGTCAATGAAACAAGCAAATGGAAGTTTAAGATATGTAATATGGGATTTGTCTCTTTTCTTTTTCTTTCCCCCCCCTTTTTGCTGTATTTTTGCATTGGTTTTTATGTTTTGCTTTTCTTATTCTTTTTTATGTATTGTAGTGTTGTTTTTAATTTTTTTCTTTCTTTTCTGTAATTTTGAAATTACTAATAAATATTATTTTATTAAAAAAAAAACCACTGAGGGTTATATTGATATCCTCACAGTTTTTTTAGATCTCCCAAGAATACCCACTCCCTCTTGAGAGCCAAGTTCGAACAGGAAGGCATTTAAAGAGGTATGCCCAGTCACTGCCTTAACTTCTGTGGAGACTTCCTTCCCCATACGGTATGCTCAAACCTGAGCCACTTTGGCTTGTATTGTGCCATCTTTTTCTTTAACATTTTATAGATTTAAGGGGGACCCTTCCCTAAACCCTACAAATTAATAAATGCTAGGATTTTGGTTATTTGGGGTGTGAAGGGAGAATGCAAGCTGCAGAGGAATTCCTGTGCCTGAGCTATGTCCATCAAAGAACAATAGATGGCAATTGAGGGACATTCATAATACAAGAGGACTCCTTTCCCTTGCCTGAAGGTGTGAACTAGGGAATCAGAAGGTTGCTGGGGTAACTGGCCCGGTAGCAAGAAGGAGGAAGAAGAGCTGAGATCCATCTTGGGCAGCCTGGCTGAAGGCTGGCTGTGCTGCTGAGGGGTACAAACTCCTCTTGAAAGGACCATGCTGTAAGATCTGGACTTCCTCCATGCAGACTGAAGGTGTAATGAATATTTCTTAAAGCCACAACAGTCTCCGCCATGTCTTCAATTCTCCAAAGAAACACAGATCCTGGGTGGATGCTGCTACCGCTCGGCAGAGAAAGAGGGGCAGGGACTCGACTTAAGACATTTCAAGTGTCCCAAGGTGCTTTTGAGTTGGCTTTTGGTGACCATGGTTAAGCTCTGAATTTGTGGTAGAGATGAGGTTTCAATCTGTGGCTTATTTGCCTGCTTTTCAACTAGTTTTAAATGTTTTAATCTGTCCTGAACGTGAGGGGTGTGAAAGGGTTAGCAATTCAAATAAAGTCTTATTTCATGCTAATGGATCTGCCCAGTGGTGGAGGAAGGGGGGGCAGCAGGGGCGGCGGTCCGCCTAGGGTGCCATCTCTGAGGGGGATGACAAGAAGGCACCCCGCAGGGGGCTCACCCTGCCACCCCTGGGTGTGGTGGCGTGAGACACCACCATCGCGCTGCCGCCACGTGCGGAGAATCCCTCCGCTGTCCATATGGCGCACATGCTGCGCCGCTGTACGTAGTGGCGCTGCGCATGTGCCATACCTGGTGGCACTGCACATGCTCAGCTGGGCGGTTTGCCCTGCCCCTGTGGGTGGTTTGCCCCGCCCCTTGACACCCCACACCGGGTGCCAGACAGCCTTTCTTCACCCCTGGATCTGCCCCCAGGAGCGGTATGATTTGATCGCTGTTAACTGGAGGTGCCTGGGTTGGCATACAGAAAATTGGCCAGATGTGTAAGCCACAGATTGTGTCCACTGGGTAGATTGGTGGCATTGTGTACAGTCCTGCAAAGGATAGCATGGGTTAGAACTATGTACCAACAAATCCTTCACTGAAGAAAAGTGGGGTGAAAATGAAATCATTGAACCAACAAGCAGTGCTTTTCTGTTTTCTCAGTCCATGTCTGAATGTGAGATGAACAACGATACAAAATAATTTATGTACAGAAACAATGCTCCATAAGGAAGACCCCTCAACACACATGAACTCCCACTCATTCACACTCATATTTGGGGTTATGAAAATATCTGCCTTTTCCTAGCCATTTCAATAGATGCTTCAATAGATGGATGTTCACCCACTTTAATAATAATAATATTTTTTAGCAAATAAAAAACTGTGAAAGAAATTTGGGGAAAGCTCAAGGTGGTTTCCAGCTGAGATTCAGAAAAAAATGTTGGTTTCCTGGCAACAGATTAGTATTCACATGTAACAGGGAATATAATGACTCCTGGGATGAACAGTATTCAGTTGCAAAATAGATACTTACTTTCTCCATCTGAAGTAGATAGAAATCAATGAAATCCTGTGGCTCATGCAGAGATAGATTCTCCTTATGCTTCTCTATCTCCTCCTTTGCAAATGAAAGCATTGCCTTCAGGCAGTACAATGCCTTCTTGTGAGGCCCTGGGACATGTTTCATAAGCCATGGGAACATTTCATATAGCTAAAGGAAAGATAGAGAAAATTTGGTCACATGGTTCATGCTTTGGATTAGCAATGTTCAAGGGACGTCTCTGCTCTCAGTATTTCTCCTGCAGAGGGGAGCACAGAGAGGAAATCATTTTGACTGTTGACCTCTGAGCTCCAAAGCCACGTTGCAATTGGGGATAGACCCTGTCAGTGAGTGACTGTAATTTGTTGAGAACCACAGGGTGATTCCATGATAGCTCCATGATAAACAGGTCACACCTGTCTTCTGGCATGGATTATTTCCTCCAACACTGCAAGATGAACCCATGAAAGTGCATCATGGTGGCTAACAGATTGAAGTTGAATCCTGACAAGACAGAAGTACTGTTCTTGGGGGACAGGGAGTGGCTGGTGTGGAGGACTCCCTGGTCCTGAATGGGGTAACTGTGCCCCTGAAGGACCAGGTGTGCAGCCTGAGAGTCATTTTGGACTCACAGCTGTCCATGGAAGTGCAGGTCAATTCTGTGTCCAGGGCAGCTGTCTACCAGCTCCATCTGGTACACAGGCTGAGATCCTACCTGCCTGCGGACTGTCTCGCAAGAGTGGTGCATGGACTACTGCAATGCACTCTACATGGGGTTACCTTTGAAGGTGACACGAAACTGCAATTAATCCAGAATGCAGCAGCTAGACTGGTGACTGGGACTGGCCACCGGGACAATATAACACCGGTCCTGAAAGACCTGCATTGGCTCCCAGTACGTTTCCAACCACAATTCAAAGTGTTGGTGCTGACCTTGAAAGCCCTAAACAGCCTCAGTCCTGTATACTTGAAGGAGCGTCTCCACCCCCATTGTTCAGCCCGGACACTGAGATCCAGCACGGAGGGCCTTCTGGCGGTTCCCTCATTGCAAGAAGTGAGGTTACAGGAAACCAGGCAGAGGGCCTTCTCGGTAGTGGCGCCTGCCCTGTGGAACACCCTCCCATCAGATGTCAAAGCAAATAAGCAACTATCCTACTTTTAAATGACATCTGAAGGCAGCCCTGTTTAGGGAAGTTTTTAATGTTTAATGCTGTAATGCGTTTTTAATATTTGATTGGGAGCCACCCAGAGTGGCTGGGGAAACCCAGCCAGATGGGCGGGGTATAAATAATAAATTATTATTATCATGAGGGAGGAATTGAGACCAGCTTTCAGCACTTCCGTTGGGATTCCATCCTGTCCTGGGGTTGTACCACATGCTTGAGAGTTGAAGGTGTTATTCAGCTTGTCAAGGGAGAGAGGGACATTCAGCACTTCAAAGAGAGGCAAAGACTGGATACTGTCAATGTGTTTGAGACCATGTTTTCCCATAGCACAATTCATGATAATGATCTGCCCATCACTTCATCTGCTTGCTGCTGTGTCTCCAGACAAGGTTTTCAGTGGTGCAGTTTTCCTGGCTGTTGGTCCAAAGGCAGTCTTCATGCCTTCATACATTTTTCACTGTCAGCAGTGAGTTGAATGTTTGATATAGCTTTAGCGAGTAGTCATTGACACATCATCTGATCCTTGCCTTTCTCAGTGCAGGAAACATCTTCTCATAAGGCACAAATTTGTAGTTCACAAATGTGAACCTCACCCTTTGCAGCAATAGCAAGCTCCCTCTCCTGACAGCCTGCTCTAGTTCTTCATAGAACATGTCCTTGGTCTGTATGTCAGAGCACATAGTGGGACTGCAGATGCTTAAGATGCTCTAATAACATTCAAACCTGCAATTTGCAACTTTGCTAAATTGCATACAAATGTGTGCATTAGGAGAAATTAGCACCAAAATGCTGATGAAATTTCATGAGAATTTAAAAAAAAAAACATATCAGAAATTGATGTAGAAATGTGGAGAACCAATTTTAAGACAGGAAAAATGAGAAACTAAGAGAAACTGAAATTGTCAGGTCCACCCATCCCCCTCAGGTCAAAAGGGTTTAGCTGAGGTCATACAGAAGGGGGCTGCTTTCCTTAGCAGTGCAGGGAATGCTTGAGTTGCAGACCTCTGTTTCATTTTTTAAAAATCCAGCAAAGGAGCCACACCATAGGCGCCATAATGACTGACACTGCTAAGTTGCAGCTCCTCTGCTTGCAATACAAATCAGGAGATTGATTTGCCCCTCCCCCTTGGGAAAATCAATGCACCTCTGTTGGGTTTAGAGTTGAACTCTTCAACGGTTATGGTAGCACTATTCAAACATGGGCATTTATGGCTCTCCTGAAACTTACTAGTGATGTTCCCAAAATTTAGGTAAAGGTAAAGGGACCCCTGACCATTAGGTCCAGTTGTGGCCGACTCTGGGGTTGCGGCTTTATTGGCCGAGGGAGCCAGTGTACAGCTTCCAGGTCACATGGCCGGAAATTTAGAGATGTATGAATATTTACGGCACAAAGGTTCAAATACTGCCATTGTATATTCCAGGCAGACAACCTTCACACCCTCAGCAAAATGTAGCCATGTGGAGTTTATGGATCTAGCCAGCCAGCCATGCTGTCCTTGCATTTCCAAATTATATCACCAACATGTCCTGGTCTGTGGTCTGTGTATGCTCAGTGCTCATTTGGATGTTTGGCGTCAATGTGCTATAGTAGGTCCCTGCCCCCAATAATACTTGTCTTTCTTAAAACTTGAAGATAGCCCGGGATCTTAAATTGGTCCAAAATATGGCTGCCAAGACATATGCTCATCAATCAAGTCCTATAAGCCTTGATATACAGTGAGCAAAGAATAGACACATTTATTTTTCCATAATGACAATAAAATTGTAGAATTCTCTTCTTGAGAAGATTATTTTGTTCACTGCTGTTTACTTAAGGTGGGCTCTAGACAACTTGTTCTGAAAGGTTATTGTTCCATTTTTATCCAATTTTTTCTCCAAAGAGTCCCTTGTGGTTGGACATAGTCTCCTTATTCTTTCTTTCAATTTTTATAATAATCTTGAGAAATTATTTATGCTATGAGATCGTAAATAGCCCTTATCTCAGATTAGATTTAAACCTGAACTCAGTTTTCCAATGCTCTAACTTCTATCGTAATGGATTCCAGAATGCTGATTGAGGGATTTAAGGCACTTGGGAGACCTGTCAGGCTCAGTAGGAATGAAAAAGACAACTCACAAAATGAGCAAAGCTACACAGATATTTTAGGAGAAAATTCATGGCTTCTATCAGCTTCTGGAACCTTTTATCTTCAAGAGCAAACAGGTGCCCAAAAGCCACAGCACATATCATGTTGGAGGCTGAATTAGTGATGGGCATGGAGGGGTCAAGTGGTTGACCTGCAAAATAAAGTTATACTAATGTGAGTTCAGCCACTCCTGTTCATACGGAGAATGGTATTTTATGGTGGACAAGAGAAACTGCAGGGATCTCCAGCAATTGGTTTATTAACATCAATTAATTAATTAATTGATTGGTTGGTTTATATACCACCCTTCATCACAAGATTCTAGGGTGTTTCACAGAGTAGAAATACAAGATAAAAACCCAGGTAAATAGTTAAAACAAAATAACAAAACATCCCATAAGCACATTTAAAAGGCTGTAGAATATTAATCAGCCAAACACCTGTTTGAAGGGGAACATTTTTTCTTGGCACTTAAAGATATATAATGATAGCATTCCATTTAAGGCTCATTAGGAATCAAACAAAACATATCACATTCCTTTACAAAATGTACAGAGGTTATACACAAAGGTTTCTTCAGACATATGACAACCCAGCGCCATCACCTATCATCACATACCCTTTGAACGTGCAAAGACCTCCACTAGCTGATGGGCTTCCTCTTCTATTTGGTGCTCCATGCCTTTCCTCCCCAGTCCTAGCTTCCGCATAGTAACAATACCAAACCGTCTCTGTTGCCTCCAGGTGTGACCATTTGATAATATAATGCCTATGAAAAACCAGTGACAATAGTGGAAGAAGGGAGAACTTTAGATAATCCCGAGGAAGTTAAAAAGTGCTTTATAAAATATTGTAATGAGCTATATAAAGCAGGAACTGAGACAGAGGATGAAATAAAAGAGTATTTATATGGAAAGGACATACCTAAAATTAAGAAAGAAAAGATTCAAGACCTAAACTCTCCAATAAACATGAGAGAGCTACATCAAGCAATAATTAAGATGAAATTGGGAAAATCCCCAGGCCCGGATGGAATCACCATTATCACCTATGAAGATACTTTTAAATAGAATACTAGAAGACGGGAAGATTCCCAATACCTGGAAGCAGGCTCATATAGTAGTAATCCCAAAACAAGGACGAAATAAGGAGTTCATAACCAATTATAGACCAATATCATTACTTAATAATGACTACAAGATTTATGCACAAATATTGGCAACAAGATTAAAAACAGTTTTGCAGGATTGTATAAACAAAGAGCAGGCAGGGTTTTTGCCGGGCAGGAAAATGAGTGATAATATAAGAACAGTGATTGATATGATCGAGTATTTAGACATGAAACCGAATAAGAAGGTAGCCTTTGTATTTGTGGATGCGGAAAAGGCGTTTGATAAAGTTTCATGGAAATTGCTAAAAATAATATTAGACCAGATGGACATGGGAGACCAAATTACAAGAGGGTTAAAAGCAATCTATGAACAACAAGAAGCAAATATAATAATAATAATGACATGACTGATTATTTTAAAATACAGAAGGGCACCAGACAAGGGTGCCCGCTCTCACCATTATTATTCATTTTGGTTTTGGAAATACTAAATCAAGAAATCAGACTAGACCAAGAAATAAATGGAATATCCTTAGGGGACAAAACATATAAAATAAGGGCATTTGCTGATGATTTAGTGTTAATGGTGGAAAGCCCAAAGGAAAGCATAGCAAAGGCTCTAGAAAAAATGGAAAACTTCGGAAAGGTTTCAGGCTTTGCTTTGAATAAAGAAAAAACGAAACTAATGGTAAAAAATATGGGAGACCAAGAGAAAAAGGAACTGGTAGAAAAATTTGGATTACAAATTTGTAAAAATGTGAAATATTTAGGAATTCAAATAACAATGAAAAATATAAATTTGTTTAAAGATAATTATAAAAAAAATTGGGAAGAAATAAAAAGAGAAATGGAAATTTGGACAAGATTGAACTTAACACTCTGGGGTAGAATTTCGGCTATTAAAATGAATATCTTACCAAAATTCCTGTTCCTTTTTCAAATCATCCCCATAATAGGTAAAGATGATTGTTTTAAAAAATGGAAAACGGATCTAACAAAATTTATAAGGCAAGGCAAAAATCCACGGATCAAACATAAATTATTAACTGACATAAAAGAACGGGGTGGCTTTGGACTCCCAGACCTGAGAATATACTACGATGCGGCATGCTTTAGTTGGATCAGAGACTGGATTACTTTAGATAATAATGACATTTTAGACTTGGAGGGATGGAACAACAGATACGGTTGGCATGCCTATCTAATTTACAACAAAATGGCAGTGCTTAAAGACTTTCTAAGGTCATGTAATTAGAAATTTGTTATATAAGGTCTGGGTGAGACATAGAATGTTGTTAGAACTGAAAACCTCATGGTGGGTTTCACTGTTAGAAGTAATATCCGTTAAAAAGAAAAATACGATAGGAAGATTGGCGACATACCAGCAGCTCCTAAAGGAGGAACAGGGCCAATTAAAATTAAGACCATACGAAGAGGTGACCCAATACTGCACCACGTGGTTACAATATCATCAAATTGCTCAAATATTTAACCAGGATAAAGCAATAGGATTTGAAAAAGAAGAATCAAAATTACAAAAAGTATTATTACAAAACTCGAAAAAGAGTATATCCAAAATGTATAATTTATTATTAGAATGGGAGTTAAAGGATGAAGTAAAAAAAGTTCTGACTAAATGGGCATGCGATATAGGTTACGCAATTCGGTTGGACCAATGGGAGAAATTATGGAAATGTGATATTAAATTTACGGCATGTTACACAATCAGAGAAAATTTGATGAAAATGGTGTACCAATGGTACTTAACTCCGGTAAAATTGGCTAAAATTTACAAATTAAAATCAAATACCTGTTGGAGATGCAAGAAAGAAATAGGAACAATGTTTCACATGTGGTGGGAATGCCGACCTATTAAACAATTTTGGAATGAAACATATGAAGAAATCAAAAATATCTTTTAGTAAAAAACCGGAGGCATTCCTTCTAGGTATAATCACAAATGATATTCCTGACAATCAAAGGAAAGTATTCTTTTATGCAACAACAGCTGCCAGGATGCTTATAGCAAAAAATTGGAAAGGGAGAAAAATTCCATCAATGAAAGAATGGCAAATTAAATTTTGTGAATATATAAATCTGGCAAGACTCACAGCATTTATAAGGGGACAATCGGACCAGAAATTATTAAAAGAATGGGGATATGCTAAAGAGTATATGAAAAAACATTGTTCTGGAGTAAGCATATTGGCATGTAATGAATGATGCTTTGAAGGGTTAAAGAAAAAGAAAAATTGTGTAAAAAGTATAAAGATAGAAGTAATCTACATTAGACACAGCAATTTAGAAAGAGTAAAACTTTTGAGGTCTTAGAACAAAGGAAGGAAGTCAATATGTGTATATGTATGTAATGACTAGATTAGAATGAAGATATGGTTTTATTTGTAGATGTGTGCTTTTTTCTTTTTTCCCTTTTTTCATTTTGTGTTCTGTTTTTCTTTCTTGTTTGTATAGTTTCATTTCGGATTCAATGTTTGTAATTTTTGTTGTAATTTGTATTGAAAATAAAATTTATTTTAAAAAAAGAAAAAGAAAAAAAGAAAAACCAGTGACAAATTATTGCTCTCAGAAATTAGTGTTAAAAATTAAGTTTCTAGCCCAGAACTGAAGTTCATGCCTTTGCATGTAAGATCTGCTTAGTCTCTGTAATGCAAAGAATTACTAGTTGATTCTGACTCCGTCTCAATTTAATGCATGAGTATCTCTACAATATAGGCCAGCATTGCTTACTTTACACAATTCCCACCAGAATGTCACTTTCCGTTGCCTTTCATCATTTAGAAGTTCATCATTGGTTCACCCCCAAGTTTTAGCTGTCTCAATTTGTGTGCTAGTCTGATTGTTTCAGAAGTTCCTCCACTTTGCAGTACCAGCAAAAAGTGAGATCTCTGGACGTCTCTATCAATTTTGACTCTTGTGGGGAAAACTGGTACCTAATATGCTGGTAATTTCTGCAACAAAGACTGAACTTGCAAGTACAGTATTTTTTGCTCTATAGGACGCACTTGCCCCCCTCCAAAAATGAAGGGGAAATGTGTGTGCATCCTATGGAGCAGATGGAGAGCAAGATGGTGAGCGCCGACCCCTCTCTCTCTCCACGCTTCAGGGATAGCCGCCTGAAGCCTTTGGAGCGCAGCAGGAACTCGCGCTGCGCTCCAAAGGCTTCGGGTTCCTTTTGCTGAAGCCAGGAGAGGCGGCTATTCCTGAAGCCTTTGGAGCGCAGCAGGAACTCGCGCTATGCTCCAAAGGCTTCGCAACCTTGCCGCCACTCCCGGACCCGTTCTGTGGGCTGGGGTCGGGGTAAGCTCGGGCTTCCCCCGCCCCAGCCCCGCAGCTAAAAACGAAGCCGCGCGCAGCTTCTCCCAGCTGGAGAGGAAGCCAAGACAGACAGTGGGATGGATCCTGCTCGCTGTCTTGGCTTCTTTGCTCTTTGGGGCTGGGGGGGAAAATAAATGTTTTTCTTTATTTCCCCCCTAAAAACTAGGTGCGCCCTATGGTCCGGTGCGCCCTATGGAGTGAAAAATACGGTATCACATGAGCTTTCTCAGAACTTTAAACCCCAGCAGACACCCCCCACAGTTTTTAAGGATATAATTTAACAGATGTGTAATGTTGACAAGTTTCCATCTTTCCCTGGAAGGAAAAAAATTCACTTCTCATTTGGGAGATGAATGGATGCCAAGTGTTGCAGAAGGATAAAGGAGTTCTCTTGCTCCTAGTCACCCTGACCTGACAGGTCAGTTTCTTGGCCAAAGCAACAGACCACACCTGAGCATACCATGAGTCTATTGACAGCCCTGTTGTATAGCGCCAACATTCAGCCTTTTCTAAGCAAACATTTACCAGCAAATGTGTCAGCATCTCCCAATGAGATAAATTTGATTTGATTCACCTATTATTCCTAGCATAGCTATCAAAGGAGTTGGATGTGATAATCAAATAGAAATCTGATTGTCTCAGAAGTTCCTGCACTAATGTGTCAGCAAAAAGCGAGATCTCTGGAAAGCACTTCAAAATTTGACTTTTGTAGGGAAAACTGGCATCTGATACACTGGTAATTGTGGGCCCAGCCAGAGTGCCACCCACTTCTGGGTCAATGTCTACATGTAATATATGATTAATAACTCAGACAAACAACAATCTGGATTAAAAATGCCCATAACTTTTTTGATTACAGATGTAACTTTTTTGATTCCTTTTTTGATTACAGATGTAATCTGTGATCCATGCCTCTCCAAGACGTTGATCATCCTAAGGCCACTGCTGGAAGCCCTATGGCTTATCTTCCCCATGCTTGGCTTCAGGACAGAGACATCCACCAAGACCACTTTAACAGGGTACGCTGAAAATGGTGCAGGATCACTACTGGGTGATGCACCCCACACTTGAAGACCAGGATTCCACCCAATACCTTAACTGTTGCTATGGGGAAGGCAGAACCTCTACACCAGCCAATTTGTTTACAGGGAAATTCCTTCCCAGCCCTTAATATGGCATTTGCAACCATTTGCAACCGTAGTAAGGTCAGGAGATATACGGGAAGCAAAATAAGGTTAAACAGTGAATGAAGGGAATAGAACATTTTTAAAGCAGCAACCTGAAAAGCAGAAAACATTTTAAAACCCCAAAATGACCTGAATAATAAGAAAGGTTAATGACAAGGGAGGAGGGGAGAGTTTTGCTCCTTGTCTGACTGCGCTGAGGCAGGATGGCGCTGCCAGCTTTTCTGCCTCGCTAGAAGTGAGGCCACAGCCAATGCCATTTCAGCCAGCAAGGCACATCACCCCAAAAGAGCCCACTAACTGGCCAATTTGAAGTGCAGCAGCTGGTGGGAACTTGAGCCAGCTGCTCAAGGAGGCCAGTGAGAATTCCCCCAACAGCCGTCTGGCCATGTGCACTCCATCCTCACTGCCCAGGGATGGCAACCGAGTGAGAGAGGGCACAACAGCCGCCCACCTGCAGGAAGAGCTAAGTGTCAGGGATGCATATGGTTGCTCACGAGTAAAGAGCCAGGACTCCGACCTGCCTTTTTACAGGTTTTATTAGGTGCAAACTATATACAGTGGCGCTGGTGACACGGGTGGCGCTGTGGGTTAAACAACAGAGCCTAGGACTTGCTGATCAGAAGGTCGGTGGTTCAAATCCCCGTGACAGGGTGAGCTCCCATTGCTCGGTCCGTGCTCCTGCCAACCTAGCAGTTCAAAAGCACGTCAAAGTGCAAGTAGGCGGGAAGGTAAACGGCGTATCCGTGCGCTGCTCTGGTTTGCCAGAAGCGGCTTAGTCATGCTGGCCACATGACCCGGAAGCTGCACGCCGGCTCCCTCGGCCAATAAAGCGAGATGAGCACCGCAACCCCAGAGTCGGTCACGACTGGACCTAATGGTCAGGGGTCCCTTTACCTTTACCTTTATATACAGTGCAGAAGCCCAAAGTTCATGTCTGCCTCAGTCACTAGCAGATTCCAAGAGTGGGTTCTTCCTGTTCCCTCCCCAGCTTAAGAACCTCGACACCCCCAGCTTCCTCTTTTCCTTACGTTTGACTCCCTTGCGAAAACTAGCGATAGAAGCTGCATGTCTGTTTCCCTATCAGCCTGCCTGACAGTGGTGCTAGGGCTCGCAGTAACCTCTGTGAGCCTTTGCCTCACTTCCCCCCTCCTTTCCTCCTCCGTTTCACCGGAGGCTTTGCTCTCACCAGTCTCTGACGAGGTGTTACTACTCAGCAAAGTCGGAGGCTCCCTGTACGTTTCTGCCTCCCTCCCCGCTTTCGATGGCAGTCCCCTGACACTAAGCAACAAATTTCTGCAATCACTTGAGGTATCACTTGAGCTTTCATAGCTTTCATAGAATGTTAAACACCAGCAGTAAACTTCAGTCAAAAACCCATTTCAGCTAAGTTTTCCACACTGTTTTTAAGGATATAATTTCACTGGTGTGTGATGTCAATAAGTTATTTTTCTACTGGCGCCACCAGACTGGTGTTTTATTGAAGGTGTGTATTCTGCAACATATTCTGGACACAGCAAAAGCCAGTTGGGCAGTTCCCTCATCCTGGCAAAGGGACTGAGAGTGAATTGGGTGCCAAACTGGCACCAACACTGCCTCCATCTCCAAGGGCACAGAGATGCCATGTATGAACTAACCTTGCAAGTCCAACATGCTCAAAGGAGTGCTGGCTTGCTCCCCAACCTAGGAACTCTGCTCACTTACTGCAATAAAAGCTGTGTGGGATGTTAGATCAACATCTTAGCTAGCACTTAGCCAGGTGTCTTTACCTCTTATATACCTGCTACAACCTGTGCCTTGGCAATGCACCAGTCTGATGTAGGCATCAAAGCCTTGGGTAGAAAGAGCGAGGAATTCAAGTTCTTCATCCAGCACTGAGATCCAAGCCAGTAAATGCATTAAAATGGCAACAGGCAACAAACTTCTGCCTGCAGCTGACTCTTACCACAGTGCATTACAATTGCTACTTCCAGAGAGCACTTGCTAGAGAGCACTGGGTTGTATTCAACAATGTTAGAGTAGACCCACTGAAATTAATAAACCTACATTGGTCATGCCAATTAATTTCAGTGGGTCTACTTTGAATAGAACTAGTACTGTCTACAACCCATTTCCTGTTGAGTGCAACATTAATAGAGAAGCTCTGTTGTTCTGTTTTTCCAGACAGCCCTTTAAATGTTTTCCCTGGGGAAAATACCAGTGGAAATTCTCACATTTCACTACTTACCCTTTCCTTTTCCTACAGTCATAAGGAAAGGAGTACGTGGTCGGTCTTCAAAATATTCAGAGTGGTCAACGAGCGCTTCTTCCACTGCTCGGAATCCAGACAGCACTACAAAGGGCAGATGCCCTACCCAAAGGGTGTAAATGTTTCCATATTGCTTTGCCATCTACCATTTGGGTCAAAAGAGAGGAGAAGATTGTTATAGTCAAAGAAAGAAGATACTAATTTGAACCTAAAACATGAGCTTCATCCTTCCTCCATGGGTGTAGCCAGGATTTTTGTTAGGGGGGCAGGCCTTTTGTTAGGGGAGGCAGAACCTCAGTTAGCTATGTATTTTTTAATTGATTTTTATTGATTTAGGGGGGCAGTATGAGCTCCTTTGACAGTGGAATAGTCTCCCTTGGGAGGTTGTGGACTCTCCTTCCTTGGAGGTTTTTAAGCAGAAGTTGGATGGTCATCTGTCATGGATGATCTAGTTGAGATTCCTGCATTCCTGCAGAGGGTTGAAATAGATGACCCTTGGGATCCTGTCCAACTCTACAGTTCTTTGATTTTATAATCTGCCTCTCTCTAATGGATCTGGTCTGATAACTTGGAACTAAATGGTACCTTTGGGGATACCAGAACTGAGCCCAGGGACCACTTATTGCACCGAAAGAAAGTCAAGACTGCACTCCTGGCCATTGCATTTGAATACGCTAATTCATTTCTTAATGTATGCACATTTAAATTTGACCCTTAACTTCTGAAAATGCTGAAGTGGGAAAAGGAAAACATCTGAAGAGGAAGAGGCATAGGCTGGGCTAGAGCACTGATGCAGGTTTCTGACCCACAGTGGGTCACAGCAGGAAAATTGCCACCATACAAATATATGGGTAAGAAATTAAGATATGCCCCCTCAAATGCATGTTTGGGTTAGAAATTATTAGCAATTTCAGATGTTTTAAAAGTTAATGCATTCATATCTGATGATGTAGTAATTGTGTTTTTTTTTTAAAGAGTTTCCTCTAGAAAAAAATCACTTATAAATGTATTCAATAAACAATAAAATCAAGTATGGATTGACAAAGAGTGAATTCTTCTGGAGGAGGCAATGGAAAAGTCCCTGTTCTGTTTGACTACACGTGAGCTATAGCTCCCCTTGGCTTTACTAAAATGAGTTTACGAGCTTCTGCTTCACTGCCAAGAGAATTTGGTGCCCATTAATCAGTCAGAAGGGGAGTGTTACACAGTATTCTAGGTCATGTTGCAACGTACACTAGTTCCAGAGCAGGCTTCCTCAACCTTGGCCCTCCAGATGTTTTTGGCCTACAACTCCCATGATCCCTAGCTAGCAGGACTAGTGGTCAGGGATGATGGGAACTGTAGTCTCAAAATATCTGAAGGGCCGAGGTTGAGGAAGCCTGTTCCAGAGCTTGTAATGAACTGTTTTATTAGCTCAGCTTCCTGTTTTGATTGGTTCAGAGAGATGCCTCCTTCGTCCAGTAGCTATAAGCAACACACACAATAATAATATTGTTACAAATCTGGGGTAACAGACTTTGTGAGTGCAAGGGCTCTCATAACTTCTAGAGTTAGTGATTGTTCAAAATTAATAAAGGAGTAGAAATTAGTAGAAGAGAAGATGCCAGGCCAGGGCCTCAACTGCAATAGAAGCTGCTAAGAATGTGAAAAGGTGCTGGAAGCAAGTCATTAACACATCAATGGCAATCATTTCCAGGGCAGGAAGTTACAGGAAATATGACGACACATGGAGTAAATCTGCCCTTTTTGAGAAAAGGGTCTGGAGAACAGAGGCTCCAAGTGTCCCTATTTTCCAGGGTCATCTCGGTTTCTGATTTTATCCCAGAATGTCCTGCTTTTCCTTAAAAGGTAAAGGGACCCCTGACCATTAGGTCCAGTCGTGGCCGACTCTGGGGTTGCGGCGCTCACCTCGCTTTATTGGCCGAGGGAGCCGGCGTGCAGCTTCTGGGTCATGTGGCCAGCATGACTAAGCCGCTTCTGGTGAACCAGAGCAGCACACGAAACCCCATTTACCTTCCCGCCAGAGCGGTACCTATTTATCTACTTGCACTTTGACGTGCTTTCGAACTGCTAGGTTGGCAGGAGCAGGGACCGAGCAACGGGAGCTCACCCTGTCACAGGGATTCGAACTGCCGACCTTCTGATCGGCAAGCCCTAGGCTCAGTGGTTTAGACCACAGAGCCACCCGCGTCCGGTTTTCCTTAGGATGTCCCTATTTTCATTGGAGAAATTTTGGAGGGTATGGAGTTATCGTGAAGCTGAGGCTCCAATACTTTGGCCACCTCATGAGAAGAGAAGACTCTCTGGAAAAGACCCTGATGTTGGGAAAGATGGAGGGCACAAGGAGAAGGGGACGACAGAGGATGAGATGGTTGGATAGTGTTCTCGAAGCTACCAGCATGAGTTTGACCAAACTGCAGGAGGCAGTGGAAGACAGAAGTGCCTGGCGTGCTCTGGTCCATGGGGTCACGAAGAGTCGGACACGACTAAATGACTAAACAACAATAACAACAACATGGAGTTATCCAACCCCCAAGTGGTCTGAAGGCAATCCTGCATAGGGAAGTTTTTTAAATGTTTAATGTTTGTGTGTGTGTCCGTGTGTCCCAGTAAGATGTGTGGGGTATAAATAGTAAAATAATTATCATGGAATGGGATGTCCCTATTTTCATCAATGTTGGAGGGTATGGGAGAAGAGGGGCAAGCAGACAGAAGATATTTCATTTTGCAATGTGTTCAGGGAACAAGGAGGAGGAAATGGGTGGAACTCCATGCAGCACTGGCTGGTGGAGGCTGCACCAGAGACCAGGGGCCATGACTTACTGCTGCTTTCAACCCAAGCTATGAGAGAAGCACAGCTATACTCTTGCAGTGTATTGTTCTGCACTCTCCCCACTGAAGGCTTTAGGTGTAAATATGTGTAAAGTAAGCCATATTTCTTAAAGACACTAGTCGCTGCTGTGCCTCAATTTTCCAATGGAAACTCAACCCTGGGCAAGCACATGGAACTCCCTGGAATCTTGCCAAGCTACCGCTTGGCAGAGATTTGGGGTAGCATGAAATATATATACAGTGGTGCCCCGCAAGACGAATGCCTCGCAAGACGGAAAACCCGCTAGACGAAAGGGTTTTCCGTTTTGGAGGTGCTTCGCAAAACGAATTTCCTATGTGCTTGCTTCGCAAGACGAAAATGTCTTGCGAGTTCCTGCGGGGTTTTTCCTTTCCCCCCTTTTCCCAAGCCGCTAAACCGCTTATCAGCTGATGGCTAAGCCGCTTATCAGCTGATCTTTGCCGCTAACAGCTGATGCTAGCGTTAACAGCTGATGCTAAGCCGCTTATCAGCTGATCGTTAAGCCGCTTAACAGCTGATGCTAAGCCGCTTATCAGCTGATCGTTAAGCCGCTTATCAGCTGATCTTTAAGCCGGCTAAGCCGCTAATACTGTAGCGCTAAGCCGCTAAACCTCTAATGGGCTTGCTTCGCAAGACGAAAAAACCCGCAAGACGAAGAGACTCGCGGAACGGATTCTTTTCGTCTTGCGAGGCACCACTGTACAGTGATACCTCGGTTCCTGAACACCTCTGTTGTTGTATGTTTCAGTTCTCAAACGCCGAAGGCCTGTAAGTAAATCCTTCTGTTTTTGAATGTTTTTTCGGAACCTGAATGTGTGACATGGCTTCTGCTGGGTGCAAGAAGCTCTTGCAACCAATGGGAAGCTGCACCTTGGTTTTCAAACAGGCTTCCGGAATGGATTACGTTGGAGAACCAAGGTATCGCTGTGTGTGTCCAATATTTTCCCAATATTACCACGGTTTTGCCAATTATACAGATTCCATTAATATTAAAATAATTCCAGTTAATTCCAAATGTATACAATTTAGTCAAAGTGGTTTTTTGATCAATGTTTCTGTCCAGTTATTTTATTGCTGTGGCTCATATTTCTTATTAACATCTAATTACATTTCGGTTGGTATAATCATTAATATAACAGCTGCATTTTCAGCGTTTACTATTTGTGTTAATACCTTTTCTTACTTTCCATAGGAATTCAAATGAGGTGCTCTAAATTATTTTCCCTTTCTCTGCTTGCGTCAGTCTGAATATAACCAATTACAAAGTCCTTGGCCTTTGTTTGCTGTCCAGTTCTTGAAATTCTTCCTACTGCTGTTGTCTGTCAGCATAGCTGGGGTGGGGCTATAATCCTGGAGAATTCTCAAAAAATCTCATTAGCTCCCTCCCATCGTGCTCTCATCTTGCTCAGTGTTTCTGGACAATCACATACTCCAAGAGTCCACTCTTTCTCACTACTCATTCAACATCTAGAAAATTTCCACAGCCCGACAAAGAGGGATCCAGCTCCCACCGCAGGGGATCTTGGAGTACTTTCATTTTAATTAATCACCATCAAAGTCTCCATGCCTCCCTCATCCATGATCCCAAATTCCTTTCATCTTTACGACTGCATTTTGGCCAAAGTCCACTTAAGCTGTGTCTCTTCTCTGTTGTTTTTAAGGAGGGTAGAGAAAGTATCCACTCTAATTTCCCAAAATAATCCATTCCAGCATTAGAGCTCTCCCCTCATCTTTTTAAACCACACGCAGCTAACTGTTCTTTTAATCACACGTTTTATTCCATATTGCAATCCAACCTCATTTTGTATCTTTAAAATTTTGCGTTTGGAGAGAGTTGCCGAATCATTAATAAAGAAACTCAAAGTAAACAAGAAAGCAGACACTCCCCTCTTCAGCATCCACTGCCCACACCGAATAAAATCTTTCCTCGTTTAAAAACCTCAGATCAATGCAGCTGGGTAATTCCACAGTTCTGGTGACAACATCTTCTTTTGGAGCTTACCTGACTTTAAAGTCAATTAACAATCCAATTAACAGGAGAACATCTGCTTATTTTTACCAGGTGGAGTGCTTTTACACTCAGCACCTCCCTGCTCCCCACATTCCATGCTGGAATGAGAGCCAAGTACTGAGACGGACTGTAAGTGAAGCCCATTCCTCCCTTCCCTGGGAGGAATGTCCAATAATGATTTATCCTCATCCTTCTTGTTTTTCTCCACCTTCGATCCCTGCAATGTCATTGGGGCTGCCTCCATTAAGGCAGATAGGAACCGGAAACAAGCATGAAACTGTTATAAACAATATAAAGCCATGAACAACTTGGGAGGAGGTTACGTGAAAGATCCCCAGTAAGACCTGTAAGTTCTTTTATTTCATTTATGGAAATTCTGCTTGTGGAAAAAGCCCAAGAGAATATGAAGGAATGGGTTTCCCAAATCTAAAACCTGACTGTGCAGTCAGTCTGAAACGGGCCCCAAAATACCCATTTTTCCTTCTCCAAGGGTGAATTAGCTAAAAGCCATTAACTTGAGCAAATGTGTAACAGGAACCCAGCTGTATAAACAAAGCTCTCTCCTTTATCAGTCCGTGACGCTTAATGGATGGCCTTGTCAGTTCCGAAGTGGAGTCAGGATGGCAGAGCTGGGGCTTATCTTATCTTGTGGGTTGTAAATATCCTGACACACTGACGCACAGACCTTGCAAGACACCCCCGCGCTCGGGGATGATGCCAGGAGTGCTCTTAGAGTTGGTGACCTTCTTACCCCAAGATAAGGAATACAGGAACAGGAACATCATTTTATGATCAAGAGTACCGGAACAGGAACATCTGTTTATGGTCATGGATGTCAACTTACGTGTATAAGCTGATGTGGCTGGATTCCTGGGGAGGGGGCAAGGGGACCAGAAAGGGTATATAAGCTGTGTGTAACCGCTCTTTAAGTGCTCTTGCTGTGAACTGATCATTCAAGTGCCTTTCTGATGCTCCAGAGAGCAGAAATAAATAACTATTTCTTTGAATCCACCTCGGTGTCATTTGACTTCCTTTCTCCCTCCCAGGAGCAATGCAGACCCCACCAATCGGTAAAGTCTAAGAAGGCTACAAATAAGTGAGCCTGAAGTCAAAATTGAGGGAGGACTAGCAACATCCATGGAGCAGTTCAGGTTGATGCACCAGCAGTGAAGCAATCGATGGCCAAAGTGGGTTCTGCAAATGGACCACTGGCAGATATAGAGGTTCAATAGAGCAGACCAGTACGGATGGGGTGGGCCAGAGGGTCTTGCAGAAAGTTAATTACATGCACCTGTGTACGGCCTGTGTAACACAGGGGAAGTGCCTAGAGTGAACTAATTCATATTGACAAATTCACAGAATTAATTCAAAAACTCTGAATTGTTTATTTTATCCTACTTTTTATTTATTACTTTTGTTTGTCTCTTTTTTTTGCTCATATTACATCTGAAAGTAGTTTGTAAAAAGTCTGGGTGACCTGAACATAAATAATGAAACCTTGGGTGATTTTAATTAAATTCAGTTTTAATTCCATAATTAATAAGTGTAGGGGTTTCATTGCATTTAATTCTGCGCTTGATTTACTGCATTTACTTTTTTAACCTACACTATGGTTTAACATTAAAGATAATAGAATCATAGAATTCTGTAGTTAGAAGCCCCTCGATGAAGGAATCTCAACTGAACATCCATGGCAGATGGCCACCCACCCTCTTCTTATAAACCCCGAAGGAAGGAGAGTCCATCACCTTCCTAGGGAGTCCATTGCACTGTCCAAGACATTGGAAAATTCTAAACCATTGGACTTCCGCTTGAGGCGCCATGGAAAATGGCTGAAAATTCCATTGTTCCGGTTCTCATGCGGTAATTAGAGGCTGAGATGGGAGTAATCAGCCTCCCAAAATCTTCATGGGGGTACAGGAAGACACAGTCTCATCCGCAGATGCCCAACAAACCAGCCCCAAATTCAGAAGGAAGGAGGGGCTGGGGGCACTGGATGGAAAGCCCCCAAGAGAATCTGGCTCTCCTGGACGCTGTCTTTGTGAGCGAATCAAGTTCCATTTCTTAAGATGAAAAATTGGATTTAAGTTTTGGACATGGTTTGAGCGAGGAGGGAGGAATTACTCTGCTAATTAACCCAGCCACTGAAGTGCCAAAAAAGACTGAGTGGAAGAAGGACTAACATCTAAGTTGGTATGTTGGAACAGAATGAAAAGGGGGGGGGGTAAGCCTCTCTTACTATTGTACTTTGCTTTATTATATTATTTAGCAAAAAAAACAACAACCCCAGAAGAACTGTTTACATTATAACAAGCGAGATTGGAAAGTTTTGTATTTGTTTATATAATATGGCTCTAAAATTATAAACTGTTTGGAAATAATAATACTATATAATTAAGGCTTTTGATCTTTGATTTGCTTGGAAGAGGATAAAAGATTCTCCAAGGTGTGGACATCAGACAGAAGCAGAATCTCATTAGCCGCTGGAGAGATGTTAAAAAACCTTGGACAGTTTTCTGGAATCTGTGTGGGAGCTGTGTTGCACACTTTTAATTTGGAAACCTGCCATGCTTGGAAGTCAACACCGGGCTACAGGATTACAAATAGCCATAGAGGGAGGTGAGCCTTTAATATGTCATTATATTTGTGTTTATGGTTTGATTTGGTAAATATGCCCTGGAAAAGCTAATGTTTGATGCAACTGGTCTGGGAAAAGCAGACGCTTAGATCTGATTTTATCGGAACTGAGTGAAGATGGCAGCTGCCAGCAGCGAAAAGACTTTTGGATTGATTTGGCAGAAACACCAGCATGTGAGGAAATGCTACGAACTTACAGAGGGGAATCATAGACATAAAATCCACACAGAAATACATCATTGTTTGTTTTAACTTGCTTGTGGGAACAATTCAGAGGCTGTGGAAGAATGAAGGTCAACAACAGAAAGAATTAGAGGAACCATCGGAAATGACTATGAAAAGCAGTAGAAGTATGAGATGATCAGAACCCTCCGAACTTGAAGCATGGGAAGTCCTATTAAAAATATATAATTTGGCAGAATATTCAGACTATTTGATATGTATATGTATAATTTGGAATATTTAATGTGATTTGATTGGATTGGTAAAGTGGAAAACTTAATAAAAATGAATTTAAAAAGGAAAATTCTAAACCATCATAATGGCTGGGGAAAACAAACAAAACAACTCTTAACATTACATTAAGTTATTGCTAAGAAATACATACCTTGCTGAAAGTATCTTCACGAAACTTTACCCCAGTCCTCCACATGCTTCCAATGAGAGGAAGCTGGAGAGGTCCGGGAGGATAGTGCCTATTTGACCAGAGCTGTTTCAGGAAGTCCAGAATCAGAAGAGCCACCAGCAGAGCAATAAAAAATGCCCATATCTCCATCCTTGCTATCTCTTTCTCCTTAATTCTTCCTAGGATGTCTGATGAGGTTCACTTCTCTTTCTCTAAGGGCTTCTTCCTTTCTGCAGGGACCTCAGCACTGCACTGGAGAACATTTATAATTGATAGGTTGGGAAGTGGCTAGCTTGCTTTGTTTTGTCGAGGAGTGAAAAGTCACCCTGGAACTGCTTGTTCAAGATTTTGGGCTTGTCCACTCTGGAGTAATAATAATAATAATAATAAATTTTATTTCTATCCCGCCCTCCCCAGCCGAAGCCGGGCTCAGAGCGGCTAACAACAGTAAAACGATAAAACATTCTAAAATCATTTCATTATAAAATTAATTCCAATCAAATTAATGGCAACCATTGGGCTAGAGGTTCTGTGAGGATTGCCAAAGGAGGGAGTCAGGCTGTGCCCTGGACAAAGGCCTGGTGGAACAGCTCTGCTTGCAGGCCCTGTGGAAAGATGTCAAGTCCTGCAGGGCCCTAGTCTCTTGTGACAGAGCGTTCCACCAGATCGGAGCTACAGCTGAAAAAGCCCGGGCTTTGGTTGAGGCCAGCCTAACCTCTCTGTGGCCTGGGACCTTCAAGATGTTTTTGTTTGAAGATCATAAGTTCCTCTGTGGGACGTACCAGGAGAGGTACGAGGGTCCTAGGTATAATGTGAACTTGATGTTGTTTGTGCTGACATCCACTGCAGAGAACTGTGATCTTGTACATTTCCCCCCAATGCATTTGAATTTCCCTGACCTGGGGATAATCCAGTAAACCAGGTCAGGGAAATTCAAATACATTGGGGGGGAAATATATATATATCTTTCCCCAATATATTGTTGTTGTGGGGGCCACCAGGGGGCGCATTGGAAGATGGCCAACAATAACATCTCTCCGACCCACACGAGGTAATTAAGAGGCTGATATGGGAGTATGCAGCCTCCTTTGCCCCCCCCCCCAAGGGAATGGGGGGAGTGCCTTGCCTGCTGTGTCCATAATTCACCCCAGGATTCGAAAGAATAGGGTGAGGGCACTAGGCACGAAGCCCTCGGGTGACGTCGGCTCTCCCGGACGCTGTCTCTAATCGCGCACTGGTTTGCATCAGCTCGAAATATATAATTGGAAAACGAAGCAAATGCACATACTTCAAGTGAAGATCGGGAGCAAAGACTGCTAATTGAAGTGATCTCTGTGAAACGAGAGCAACGGGTTGGATTTAACGGAATACAACATGAAGAAAATACACCAGGTTCAGTATGCCGGAGCGGGACTGGATGGGGGGGGACCTTTTTTTTCTTTTCTTCTATGTGATTAATCAATAACCCCTCCTCAAAAAGAACCGTGGCATAACCGACCTAAGCAGGAGGATTAAAAACTGTGTAGAAATGATTTACTACCAAAAGTTTGGCTTGTGAGATCGAGAAAAAGAACAAGGGCTTTTGATGGCACAGCAATAAAAAGGGAGTCGTAATTTTGACAGGTCTTGTCAAAAGATTCATGTTCGGGAGGAGGAAGCTATGCTTTTATATTGGATTCCTGGTAGAACCTCCTCGAGGACTGAGAAAGAGGGGCAGACCTGTGAAAAGCTAATGAGTAGACAGCAAGAAAGTTTTTCTTTATAGAAGCGATGGAATACGGCTGCTGTCTGAAATATGACTCTTGGACGAACAGAAAAATCCACACAGGAATATAAATTTGTTTGAACCCGCTTATGGAGACTATTAGAGGCCACAAAGACAAAGAGAAAGGAAAAATATATGAAAACAACTAGAAGAGATGTGGAAAACAGCAAGAAAGGATTGGACAGAATTGTGAACATTATTTGAACAGATTTGTGGACTTTTAAAGCAGCAGCAACAAGAGGATTGGATCCCTTTTGGAACTTGAAATATGGGTACCCCAAAGAAAAATTTAAAATTAGACTTTGTAATTCGGTATTTATGTGATGTGATTTGATTGGTCTGTTAATAAAAATTATTTTTTTTAAAAAATATATTGTTGTTGTTGTTTTTGTTGTTGTTTAGTCATTTAGTCGTGTCCGACTCTTCGTGACCCCATGGACCAGAGCACGCCAGGCACTTCTGTCTTCCACTGCCTCCTGCAGTTTAGTCAAACTCATGCTGGTAGCTTCGAGAACACGATCCAACCATCTTGTCCTCTGTCGTCCCCTTCATCAGGGTCTTTTCCAGGGAGTCTTCTCTTCTCATGAGGTGGCCAAAGTACTGGAGTCTTAGCTTCAGGATCTGTCCTTCCAGTGAGCACTCAGGGCTGATTTCCTTAAGAATGGATAGGTTTGATCTTCTTGCAGTCCATGGGACTCTCAAGAGTCTCCTCCAGCACCATAATTCAAAAGCATCAATTCTTCGGCGATCAGCCTTCTTTATGGTCCAGCTCTCACTTCCATACATCACTACTGGGAAAACCATGGCTTTAACGATACGGACCTTTGTTGGCAAGGTGATGTCTCTGCTTTTTAAGACGCTGTCTAGGTTTGCCATCGCCTTTCTCCCAAGGAGCAGGCGTCTTTTAATTTCGTGACTGCTGTCACCATCTGCAGTGATCATGGAGCCCAAGAAAGTAAAATCTCTCACTGCCTCCATTTCTTCCCCTTCTATTTGCCAGGAAGTGATGGGACCATGATCTTCGTTTTTTTGATGTTGAGCTTCAGACCATATTTTGCGCTCTCCTCTTTCACCCTCATTAAAAGGTTCTTTAATTCCTCCTGACTTCCTGCCATCAAGGTTGTGTCATCTGCATATCTGAGGTTGTTTATATTTCTTCCGGCAATCTTAATCCCGGTTTGGGATTAATCCAGCCCAGCCTTTCGCAAGATGAATTCTGCATATAAGTTAAATAAGCAGGGAGACAATATACAGCCTTGCCGTACTCGTTTCCCAATTTTGAACCAATCAGTTGTTCCATATCCAGTTCTAACTGTAGCTTCTTGTCCCACATAGAGATTTCTCAGGAGACAGATGAGGTAATCAGGCACTCCCAATTCTTTAAGAACTTGCCATAGTTTGCTGTGGTTCACACAGTCAAAGGCTTTTGCATAGTCAATGAAGCAGAAGTAGATGTCTTTCTGGAACTCTCTAGCTTTCTCCATAATCCAGCGCATGTTTGCAATTTGGTCTCTGGTTCCTCTGCCACTTCGAAATCCAGCTTGCACTTCTGGAAGTTCTCGGTCCACATACTGCTTAAGCCTGCCTTGTAGAATTTTAAGCATAACCTTACTAGCATGTGAAATGAGTGCAATTGTGCGGTAGTTGGAGCATTCTTTGGCACTGCCCTTCTTTGGGATTGGGATGTAGACTGATCTTCTCCAATCCTCTGGCCACTGCTGAGTTTTCCAAATTTGCTGGCATATTGAGTGTAGCACCTTAACAGCATCATCTTTTAAAATTTTAAATAGTTCATTGTTTAATGTATGGATAAGATATAAAGATTTGTTAGAAAAGAAAACCCCAAGGTGGTTGTCACCAATGGAAGCGAAGGCACAGAAAAAACTCAATATGGAGGCCAAATGGCCGAAATATTGGGAAATTCTGAAACAAGAGGAAGACAGACGAAAATTGCACCTTGACAGCGTCATCGTTTAAATTTTAAATAGTTCAGCTGAAATATCATCACTTCCACTGGCCATTTCTTTCTGGTATAATTCCTCTGTGTATTCTTGCCACCTCTTCTTGATGTCTTCTGCTTCTGTTAGGTCCTTTCCACTTTTGTCTTTTATTATGGTAATCTTTGTACAAAATGTTCCTTTCATATCTCCTATTTTCTTGAACAGAACTCTGGTTTTTCCCATTCTCTTGTTTTCCTCTATTTCTTTACATTGCTCGTTTAAGAAGGCCTTTTTGTCTCTCCTTGCTATTTTTTGGAAGTCTGCATTCAATTTCCTGTATCTTTCACTAGCTCCCTCGCATTTTGCTTGCCTTCTCTCCCCCGCTATTTGTAAGGCCTCGTTGGACAGCCACTTTGCTTTCTTGCATTTCCTTTTCATTGGGATGGTTTTAGTTGCTGCCTCCTGTATAATGTTACGAGCCTCCATCCATAGTTGTTCAGGCACTCTGTCCACCAAATCTAAATCTGTCCACCAAATCTAAATCCTTAAACCTGTTCCTCCCTTCCACTGTGTATTCATTTTTTTAATATTATATTTTTATTAGTTTTCAAATACAAAAACAAAGGTATACACTCCAAACATCTTAATTACATCTTGTTTCTCTTTTGACTTCCCTCAATTTGTCTGGATTTCCTTCATCTTATTACTTTTTACACATTCCTACCCGTTGTTATTAAAACTATTAGCTTCAATTCATTTTTTCTTACTTATTTTCACATTCTCACATCACAGAGCTTCCTTAAAACTTACAAACATAATCTGGTTATCACTCAGTTTTTGCAAATATTGAATAAACTTTTTCCAATCTTCTGTAAATCTTTGATCTCGTCGGTTCCAGATCCTTCCTGTCATTCTGTCCAATTCTGCATAGTCTATCATTTTGGTTCTCCATTCTTCTATCGTAGGTAGATGGGCCAGAATTTGGTGGGAGATATTGGGAAACAAACAAGAATAAATTTCAGCAAACCAAAGGAAAAATTACCTCAGAAACCGATAAGAGAAGTAGCCCCTCATCAAAAAGCCAACATGAGAAGGCACACACTCATATAAAGTTTACTGAGGGAAAAGTCAATAAAACAAGTTATGCAGGACCCAAAGACATTTCATGATGGAGATGTGGAAAATTAGGTCATAAAAGTTTTGATTGTAAAACAGGAAAAGAAACGTCCATTTGTAGCACCACACAAAAACAGACATATTGTATCCAGCCTGTGGAGCAGGGCCAGACTAGACAGGTTGTCAAGGGAACGAACATGCCAGCTAGGCCTGAGCCTGCTGAGGTAGTAGATGCCAAAGTCCTGCATTGTTATGTGATAGAACAAGATAATCTCTTGTTAAAGAACGCTGGAGAGTATATCTGGATAGACAGAAAAAGATATCTTGGGTTAAAGGACATGGGTTCACAAGTCACTATAGTCCACCCGGAGATAATCAGGGCTGAAGCCATAATTCCAGGAAAATTAATAAAATTAGAAGGCATTTTGAAACAAGCAGAGATCCTAAAGGTGGTGGATATAGATGTCAGGTTCAAAAACTGGGCAGGGAAGTGGCAGGTAGCCCTTTCAGAAGAAATTCCCACCCCTGTGCTCATTGGTTGGGACATTTTAGAACATGTGCAGAGTACTTTCATAGTTACCAGAGCAAAAGGGAGCCTACAGTCACCTGATCCCGAGAGGGTGGATACAGTAGCAGAGGCAAACAATGCTGAACAACAACAAGGGGATAATCTGTGTGAGGAAGGAAAAGACACCTTTTTGTTTCCTTTGACTAAAAGTCAAACCCCAAGTTTGCCAAAAAGCAAAAAGAAGATACTGAGTTACAAATGTACTTTGAGGCAGCCGAGTTGGAGAGGCCGTTAACTCCTGAGTGCCCAGAACATTTTTGTTTGAGCAAGGACCTTTTATATCGAGAAGTCCTTCCCCACCATCTGGGTAGGGTGGGGGTGAAGAAGTGAGAAGACAGTTAGTAATCCCACATGAATACCGGGGCAAAATCCTGCAGCACACTCACAATAGTGTATTTGGAGCGCGTATGGGGATCACACAAACAAAACGGAGAGTTGCTCAAAATTTTTACTGGCCAGGCATGGGGAAACAAATAAAACAATACCGTCAAGCCTGTGACATATGTCGGAGAAGAGGCGCCGGTCAAGGCAAAACAAAAGCCAAATTGTGCCCCTTGCCTATCATATCAACCCCTTTTCAACGGTTAGGGCTGGACCTGATAGGGCCATTGCCTAGAGCCAGCAAGCGGGGAAACAGATACATCCTCACCATAGTGGATTATGCAACCAAATATCCAGAAGCCATTCCATTGTGAAACATTGAAATGGAAACGGTGGCAAGCGCTTTAAATTAACTATATGGGTAGATTGGGCTTTGCCAGTGAAACAGTCACTGACTTGGCTTCTTCTTTCACATCAAGACTAATGAAAAGGCTATGGGAAGTGTGTGGTATTAAGCATTTAACATCAACACCTTACCACCCTGAAACTAATGGATTAGTTGAAAGATTTAATGGAACCCTAATGAGAATGATT